CACCAACCCCATGGATACTTCAGGAAGGGGTAAGAATGGCCGGAGCTGCCTGGTGATGAAAATGGGCCTCACTTGGCTCAGTGAGTGATCTGGACATTTGGGCTTTTCCTTTGGCTCTTCCAAGTCCAAAATTATTTTGTCTTGAAGTTTATTTTTAAGAGTGTTGGCACGTGCATGCACACAAAAGTATGTTCTGTAATGCAACACACAGCTTTTAATTCCCCAAAGAAAGCCTTGAAGTGCAGAGCTCCAATGGCATCCTATTTAGGGAAGTCTGTGGCGTATTTGGTGTCTGTATCATGCAATATGAGTTTATTATGGCAAGTCTGAGGATTTATGGGGTGCAGGAGTGCTAAGTGAGATAGAGGTATATATGAAAATAATTTTAAAAATCAGATATAAAACATTCCAGAGCTCAGTAGAGAATTGTTAACTTAGAAGTCATCCCTGTTCTCCCAGGGATCCATCTCCTCAGCCGAATCATCTGTGCAAGGAGTGTGTGTGTCTGCACATGCAGAGACGTAGAAACACACATGTGCTGTAGGAGTAGAGCTGCTTCTGTGCTGCCTGCACGTCGCTGAGAAATCAGGGTGGAAGTCTCCTCGCATGTACACCCTGCGTTGGGTTTCTCCTCTTGAAACCCACCCCTGTGTTGGGGGTACATTTATGATGCACTGAAATATGGAGGTTTTTCTCATTAAGTTTGCTATTCCCCAACCAACTGGCGATGCCAGGAATCCATCCATGATCCTGAGGAGCAGTTGGCGCCGCGCATTAGCCTCCTAGCGGGTTGAGGCACGAAGCTTCCATGCAACACTTAACTGCTGGAGCTACAGTCTGTTGAAAAGCTAAATGAATTTTGGCAAAGCAACAATAAAACCCACATGGCAATAAGCAATTTTGTGATTCAGAAGAGCCTGCAAACAACCCTCAGCGTGGAGAGCGTGTGCGGAGGACTAGGACAAACAGCTCTTTAATCTACTCAAGGAAAACATTATCTGCCCTAACTTAGTGCTTGTTACCTGGTGACTAATGAGACATTTTTTTGCTTGCAGGAGATGAACCTACTCACTTCCTAGGGTGTCGTAAATTACTTGAAAAGTAGCCATCACAGGATGGGTGGCTTATTTTTCGCTCAGGGAGTACCTGCTCTCTGATTCACCCTGCAGCAGTGATTGACTTGGAGTCGTTACACACTTGGTCCCTGTATCTGAATCCAATAGGGCTGGTGATCGGAGACTTCACCCAGCTCTAGTAACTTACTATAACACTCACCTTCTTCTCTGTAACACCACAACGCTTGATTTATTCTCCAAGATTTAGCAGGAAAGGACCAGAAGTATTGGGCTTCCATTGTGCCTGTCAGGAGTGGAAAGTCTGGTTAGATGTGTGGAAAAAGGCAGAGCATGAGAAATGAAGTGAATACAAAAAGATAGTTTTCACACCTCAAAAGAGTTTAGGCTAAAAATTTAATCAAAAATGTGGCTTTTCTGCTTGATACAAGATGGGAAGAGTGTATCACATCAGTATCATGTCATTTTTCTTATTCTAACAGTGCTAATTTCCTGTTTCCCTCTTGCCGTCATCACCCATTAAGGTTTTAAGCATGTTGAATTGTCACTTTTAAGGTCCAAGTAATGCATATGTGTGATCTGTATGTTTGTATCTGAAATGCTTGGATTAAAGGCAAATCTGTCTCCCTTAGTAGTAGACAACCAGTATATAAAAACTATGAAGTATATGCCTGAACACATCCTGGAACACAGTGATTTATTGAATCAGGGTCATCAAATCTGGTTTTGCCACATACAGACTCTTTGCCACTGTCCATGTGTGATGTTTGTGGATGTGGCCTGTTACACGTGGTGTCCCCAGGGCTCAGTGCAGGGGCTTGTTCTGTTCAATATCTTTATCTGGACAAGGGGATGGTGTGAACCCTCAGTAAGTTTGCAGATGACACCAAGTTGGGTGGGAGTGTTGATCTGCTTGAGGGTAGGAAGGGTCTACAGAGGGATCTGGACGTGCTGGATCAATGGCCAAAGTCAACTGTATGAGGGTCAACAAGGTCAAGTGCTGGGTCCTGCCCTTGGGATACACCAACCCCATGGATAGGTCCTGCCCTTGGGTCACATCAACCCCATGGATGCTTCAGGAAGGGGTAAGAATGGCCGGAGCTGCCTGGTGATGAAAATGGGCCTCACTTGGCTCAGTGAGTGATCTGGACATTTGGGCTTTTCCTTTGGCTCTTCCAAGTCCAAAATTATTTTGTCTTGAAGTTTATTTTTAAGAGTGTTGGCACATGCATGCACACAAAAGTATGTTCTGTAATGCAACACACAGCTTTTAATTCCCCAAAGAAAGCCTTGAAGTGCAGAGCTCCAATGGCATCCTATTTAGGGAAGTCTGTGGCGTATTTGGTGTCTGTATCATGCAATATGAGTTTATTATGGCAAGTCTGAGGATTTATGGGGTGCAGGAGTGCTAAGTGAGATAGAGATATATATGAAAATAATTTTAAAAATCAGATATAAAACATTCCAGAGCTCAGTAGAGAATTGTTAACTTAGAAGTCACACCTCAACCTTTTTCCATTTTTTTTTTCTTTTCAATCATTTCTTATTACAAGCAGCCTTTCAATTGCTTTAGTTGAAAGAAATGATAGAAAATCCACTCTGGCTTTTTTGGCATGCTAATTTCTCTGTTTGCCAGCACTTTTCTCCTTTCTGGTTTCACCTTTCCCAGATGCTCATCATTTTCTCTCCTACTTGCATGAGGTCTCCGTGCAGCAAGAGGAGAAACAGGTTTTTGATTCTGTGGTTTGTTTGTTTTTGAAGAGGGAAATAGCTCGTAAATTCCATCACCTCTTCAACCTCTAAATATTGGCTGGGGAATCAGAGGCGGCAAAATGATCTGATTCTACTTAGAATGTGATTGTCTAAGGCAGCAAAGTAGAGAAGTCTGTATAAAAAAGACTTAAAACATGGTATCATACTCAGATCTTTAGGCCAGGATGATCAGTATGGCCTTTTAGTCTGCTTTTCCTTAAAATGCAGGTCAGATTTCTGGCATTTACACCTGCTTTTCTGCATGTGAAACTCAAACATTTCATTATGTTACACAATATTAAGAATTACCAAAGCTGACATACTGGTTTTGTTCCAGATAGATAGTGCACTGTGGCACTGTTGTATTTAATCTACTGCATAAAGAAAGATGATAACTTACAATTTTTAATGGAAACTGTTTATTTGTTAGAAACTTAATTGGACTAGTTGTTTGTTAAGCATTACAGTGTAATTGTTCTGGTCTATATAGCCTGGTCTGTATTCTCCATGTTTGTTAGATATCTTTTTCTGTTTTGGGGATTTTTTTGTTGGGATTTGGTGGGGTTTTTTCTAATCACAGTGATCTCCAATTTTGTTAACTGCTCATTTCATTTTACAACCAGATGGTTTTCCTGTGGGGATGATCATCAGGGACATGTTCATCTGGTTGAAGATGGGTAGCTGTAGCTCATTTGGAAGCCAAAGTGGTTAGTCTTTGGTTCACCGGACGTGGCGAGCAGAATTTTTTCCTTCTTGGGGACCCTTCATATGTTCCAAAGGCCAGGAGTTGGGGCAGTGAAGTCCTTTGTGATGTAGGTTTTGACCTTAGGGATCTGATCAGTGAAATACAGACTATGAGCAGCTTTGGACCAGCTGCCAGTAGAGCCCTGACTGGGCTTGAGGGGCCTGGAGGTGTCTGAAATGGTGGTTGCTGCTGGGAGGAACTGGTTGTCTGTTCTGAATGGCTTTTACCCGATGTCCACATGGAGCTGGGATCTCAACCCTTCTCCTGTGCTGAGCCTGGTCCAACAGCACAGAGACACTGTTGCTTTCTAGGTCAGCCTTTATGGGAGTTTTGTATGAATTATGGAATAGTTTTGTGAGGCCGCAACTGTGATTACAGGTTTAATGATGCTTTAAACAAACAAAAACGTAATGACTTTCATCAGTGTAAAACAGGAGCTTCCTGCAGGGAAACACCACTGAATGTGACTTCGCGGCGGGGACGCGGCCCTGGCTGGCAGCCAGCGCTAATCGGCACACCACGTAGGCCTTGGGCCTTAACTTAATTATAGCGCAGGGCAGGCAGCAGCGAGGCAGTTTGCGGTGAGGAATGGCTGCCAGCGTGGCACAGAGTCCGTGCAGTTAAAAGTTACCCATCTGAGCCGTGGCTTTAGGTGGCGAGAGGCTGGGACTTTCACAACTGGTTTGGCCTCGCACCGGGATTCGCAGTGATCTCACCTTCCTCAGGGAAGCTGGGGTGGGCATGAGAGCCTTCCAGTGGCACTGGGAGGGCTCTAACCTCTCCTGTATCACCTCCAAACAGCTTCTGCCTCCTCTACTCCTACTTTATGTAATGCAATTAATGGTCAGCCACTCTGATTCTTTTTTTTTCTTTTAATTTGTTTTTGGGTTTTTGTTCGTTTTATTTTTTTTTTCCTGTATTGGGGTTGTTTTTTGTTGTTTGTTTGTGTTGTGTTTTTTTTATTTCATGGCTCTGGCGTACTTTCTGTAAGATCCTGGGAAGGGAAACCAATCTTATTTTGGGGAGGAACTCTTGATCAGAGAGTGTAGCAATAGGATGGAGGGGTAATGGTTTTAAACTGAAAGAAGAGAGGTTTAAATGAGGTATTAGGAAGAAATTCTTTGCTGTGAGGGTGGTGGGACAATGGAACAGGTAGCCCAGAGAAGCTGTGGATGCCCCATCCCTGGAGGGGTTCAAGGCCAGGCTGGATGGGGCTTGGAGCAACCTGGTCTGGTGGGAGGTGTCCCTGCCCAGGGCAGGGGGTTGGAACTGGATGGTCTTTAAGGCCCCTTCCAACCTGAACCATTCCATGATTCAATATATTCCCTAACTATTCTTGTAAAAGCCAAAGATACTAATGCCTGCTTGTACCTGTTGCAGAGTTTACACCTGTAGCACCTTGATGTAATTTGTTCTGATGTTTCTTCTAGGGATTTGTGTCATGTATGGAACGGTACCGAAGAATCGGGCAGGAGCTGTATGCCTCTTTGTACAAGAACCACATACAGGTAAATAAAGGGAATATTCTGCAGGAGTTTTCTGTTGTTGAAAGGATGCTCTTGGTCTACCCTGAGAAATCAGGAATTCCCAGTGAGATGAATAGTTATGCCCAGAGAAATGCAGAGAGTTAATGAGTCAATACTGGGTTCCTGGCATCACCACTGAAGTGTGATATAGCGTCACTCACCAGTCAGATTGCAGATCCTCACTTTATCTTCAGGAACCTTTTTTCTTTTGTTTAAATGAATTATTCCACTCTCGCAGTAACAGAAATAAAATTAAGAACTTTGACCTTTTTTTCTTAGCAGCCAGTAAACCTTTTCAACAGATCTCAAGCGCTTAGCCAGTAAAATCTCACAGGTATGTTTCTGCTTCAGAATTGGCCGTCGGAGAACAACAAGCTTTTCGTTCTTTGAAATTCTAACTTTTTTCTCTCCTTTAAATTGATATTTTAGTGTCCCCCAGCTCCCTGCACGCACCTCCTAAATAGAAATAATTAAATCCGTGCCATGCTTGCAGGGAGCAGAGTCCACTTCTGACTGAATCTTCCCGACTGTGTTTTCAGTGAGCACAGTCATAGCCATTTGACACAAACATTCCCCAGGAAGAACCAGAGAGAGTAAAGCCTCTATGATGCTGTTCTCCTGCCTCACTACTTTTGAGTTGGAAACCTAATGAAAGTACCCATTTTCAAGGAGGCTGAAGTTTGCCACATGCTTATATTTGTCACTCTATCTTAGTTTGACTGGTAACATCTCCCACAGCATGCTTTCAGTGGACAGCTGGACCTGTGTTTGCTGGGTCTGCAGCGCTAGACCTCTCTCCAGTGGTCCCAACTGGTAGGTTGGGTAGATCCCTCTGAATCACTGGGATGGTGCCACTGCTGGATGGGAGGAGGGGAGTGGACAGAAGGTGTCACAAAGTGGTTCTGTCCCACAGATGCTGCAGTGTGATTACAGTAAAGCAGCCAAGGACTGGATGATACTTGAGGAGCAACTTTTCTGCAGAAGGGGCCCGTGGGGACACGCATCACGATCCTTAGAGCCACGGTGGATCCTTGATTGTTATGAAGGGCCTTCACGAATGAGGAGGAGGATTCAGCACGTGAACCCCCGAGTGACGATGATGCGGATGAAGAGTGAGGTACAAAGCTTTTGCAGGAGGTGCACAATTTCTGTAGCAGTTGCTGGAGATTCTTTACTCACCTCTTTCCTCTGGTTCTTGTCCCCCGACTCATCAACACGCCGTGCCATACGTAGAGAACCCACTGAACGGCTCTGGTTTTGAGCAACTAAGAGGGGTTGCAATGTGTTTCGCAGCAACATAATGATTTTCCCTCTTTTCTGGTCTAAGAACTCCCAAGACAGAGGAGAGCATAACCCAACCATACCTTTCTGCTTGTAATATCTCATGGGAATAGCACTTCCCAGTGTATGCAACAGAGTCCAGTCAGAAGGCTCCACTGTCTTTTTGTCTTACATTTATTCAGGCTGCTAGAACTGGTGGATGATCAAAAGGGGAATTAGAGTGGTTTGAACTAAGCATTGAACTGTAGATGTGGGATATGTACTACTCTCTGTAGTGTCTGTGTGCCAAATCCTGTCAACCAGAAGCTGAAGCACTTGAGTACATCAGGAGGTTCCCATTTCTAAGACATTTTCAGCTTTTATGAGAAGCTTGGATTCTGGCGGTTTCCTGTAGACTGGGCGATAAGATTTTTATCCTGTATGGGGCCTCATGCAGGGTCATCTTTGAAAAGACAACAAGCCTTTTGCTTAATTGTTGACATTTGTTCCTACATTTAATTGTTCCTTTGGGTCCATTGAAGTGAGTTTATTTGAATTTCCAAGGCATTTATTTGCAACATAGTTCTAATCTGTGGGTTTTTTCCTCTGCAAGGAGATCCTACATTATGTTTACCTCCCTGCATATTCCACTTCAATCATACCTGGTCTCTTTTCAGGGTCTCCTAGCAAACAGAAATGCAACAAGCCCCACTGCTGAAGTGAATCCAGGTAACATTTGAGGGCTAAATTAAATTGTCAAACAGCCAAAGAGAATTAGAGTTAATGTATGGACTTCCAGGTCAGAATTTCATCTAGTAAATAAGACTTATTGTCAGTGGTCTGCGCTAAAAAGTCACTTGAACATCTGGGAAAAGACGGATACAATTATTATAAGTGGTATAATAAAGTGTCTGCAGAACTTGTTGCTTTCTTGTTGTCACCAGAAAGATCTGAAAGCAAAAAAGCTATCTTGAAATGAAACTTTTGGGCATTCTTGAGCACCTGGAAAGCTTCCAACTGCTTAAACTCAGAAGGAAAAGTGCAGACTTTCCCCCTGGTTTTTAGTAGACATTCCAGTTCTACTTCTGAAATGGTATTTAAACCCAGGTGATACATGGCTCAGAGAAGCAGTAATAGGAATTGTAGCTTTCCAGGAACGTGGACAAAATTATAGTGGAAGGAAATCACCAAGAAAATTAACATGTCAAATTGTTTTTCACTGTTCAAAATAGAACCAGATATTTCCATTATGTCAATATTTTTTGTTATCCAAGGCCAGGTTTTCTGTTATGTGAGCCATTAGAAGAATGGGGTGGGGGGTGGTGAAATGTGGTACAGGGAAATGTCAGCCAAGTCTAAGGCTGTGGATTTCAGCCTCCTGTGTGGCTGCTCCAAGTGAAACTTCTGGTGTACCCAGTTGGAAATAGGCAGTGTTGTTGTATACTTTGTAGTTTGAAAGGGCCCAAAAATCAAGTGACAGTGGAGCTCATAGTTCTAGACTCCAAACAAGATGGAAGTACTACATAGTTTCTGTGTGAAAGTGGTTACAGTCTACCTGAATCAGAAAGCTGATCATTCCTACCCTGGCTGTGTGTGCTGTCTTAGTCTGCAGAACTTGGGACACAGCTTGGGCAAGACAAGAATAGGTTGTGTCTCCTTGGGGTCTCTTAAGATCCTACTCAGTGTGTGTCCCCAAAAAGACTCCCATTTTTGTTTTTTCCTGATTTTGTGTTTGTGAACAGAGTCCTTTTTTTTTTTTTTTTTAAATTATTTAATTATCAGATGACTAGAAAAAGACTCCCATTTTTGTTTTTTCCTGATATCATGTTTGTGAACAGAGTCCTTTTTATTTAAAATTCTTTAGTTATCAGATGACTAACCCAACAGAGTGTAAAAATGAGAATAAATATATTTGTTCAATATTTTTAAATCTTCAGTAATTATAGGAATTTAATTTGAATTATGACTGAGTACAGAACCTGTTCTCAGTTCCCTGAAGTAAGCATCATTCATTAGTAGGGACCAATTTTACTTCTTCCTTGCCTGTTTTTTTGCAGATAAATAGTTCTGTTTCCCAAGGTAGAGCAGATTGGGTGAAAGTCTAAATTACAAATGCTTTTGGTGTTGTCCGACTGCCACTGAAACGGCAATCTCTTTTATACCAATATAGGGGAGCTGACGTTAAATGGAGCAGAAAGGGAGATGGATAAGAAGGGATCAGACTGTAACCAGCTAACGTTCTTCCCTGCTCTGCATGAAAGTTTCCATTCAGAAGACTTCTTTGAACTGTGCGTGGAGAGACAAATCATATTGCAGGAGTTTGCGGAAAGTGAAAAGGTAGGAAAGATGAACTGGAGAATTTTCTCTGGGAAGGTGGCATTTTAGAGAGTGAATTGGATGTGGTGGCCTTTCTGCTCCTTCCAGATTGGTGTTCAGGTGGATTCAGGCTACAGGAAACATTGCTACCTGTTTCCTTAGAGCAATTGCAGTTTTCCAGTCTCTGTATAAACACCTATATAGACTTATTCTTGAAGAGCATTTAATATTAACTCTTCAAAACAACAGAAAATAATTTGGGCATGCAACCAAGGTATTCTCATACCTGTGAGACAGTATTGCCTGAATTTGCCAAAGACATGGCAAATTAATTATGAGACTCTGAGAATTTCTGCCCTGCTTCCCCGCCATTACTCGTGCTCAGAGCAGTGCCTGGATCAAATTTATTTATTACCTCTGGAAGACCATAGGTTGCTACTTCAGTGATGTTAAAATCTCTTCCTGCTGAATACCAGAAAATGTTTTCTTCCTCTCTTTACATGCCTTTTTCTCCTCTGCCTCCCCACGAGAGATTCTCCCCTTTCCCCATAACAGATTCTTCCCTCTAAGGCCATAGAGACTTTCCCTTCTTCCTGTCTGATTCTTCCCTTGTGTGTCATTTAGTCAAACCAGTGCTGTTCCTTCTTTGTTCTTGTACTGGACAGGATGCCTTCTCCCAGGTTCAGGAATGCTGGAGGAGGACACAAGCTGTGGAGTAAATAGGGGTGACTCTGTTAGGGGGATGGTAACTCTGGTCTGGTGTTCTCAATTTAATCCCTTTGCTCGAAAGCCAACAACCTGCCCGTCACTTTCAGCACAGTCCCCACGACGGTGACTCCAAATCAACCCCTGGAAGTTGGCTGTTCACTGCACATAGCCATTTTCTAAAGGACTGTCAGAGATTTTTGTCATGAGGAGCAGACCTGGCCTCATTCTCCGATCTTTCGCCATGTACCTATTTCTTCCAGTGGCATCACTCCTTAGCAGTATGGTTTAGTGATGTTTTTTGTCAGTGTTGGGTTGATGGTTGGACTCAGTGATCTGAAAGGTCCCTTCCAAACCGGCAATTCTATGTTGGGGCCCGTTGGCCCCACAGTTAGTATCCTGTAGTGGAAGCCAAGGGTCGTTCTTGGAGTATTTAAACTCAGCCATCACAGTGCGGTGATAGCTGTACATAAATATAGAAATATTTATTTTTATGTCTCAATACCATCACCAAATCTCTTGCAAGTGGCCAGGGGTCACATTCGTGCACTCTTAAGATGATGGCTTCCTTGCTGTCTGTCTCTACAACATAATTCATTTCCCTTTCCCTCCTCCTTTCCACCTCCCCCCACATACCTCTCCCCAGCAGAAGGAGACAAGCATGAAAATGCGAGGCATGTTTTCCGTGTGCTGATCTCATTTTGAGCCCTCAGGCTGTCTGTCTCCTCTCCATGTAACTCTGCTGGAAGCCGTCAGAAACGCCAGGCAGGGTTTTTTTCCAGCGGCTGACACCGCGTTGCCGCGCTGACAGAAGTATTAAAAAAAGCAGCGGGGGGTGACATTAGCTGTCCTGCGCTCACTTAGCGCGCTGCGGTCCTGCCTCCTCGATGGCTGCCTTGTGAGCTGTTTGCACTTTAAACAGGCAACTGGCACCATCCTACCTACTGCACTGCCCAGAAAAAAATCACTGCCATGCTTTGGCAGATACTAGATTAATTTCTGGAACACAGGGAAGCACTTGGTCACCGTTTTATAATGTCACTCGGTGCTATTTCTTTGCCTTGCTGTTAAACAGACACCTTTGTTCGTATTCAGATAGGTGAGATGGCTTTTTTTGCAGAAGCTGCAGATAAAATTCAGATTAGATATTAGGAAAAATTTGTACACTGAAAGGGTTATTAAGCCCTGGAATGGGCTGCCCAGGGAAGCGGCTGAGGCACCATCCCTGGAGGTATTTAAAAGACGGGTTGACATAGTGCTTAGTGACATGGTTTAGTGGTGGTTTTTATCAGAGTTGGGTTGATGGTTGGACTCAGTGAAGGCACCTTCCAACCTGGGCAATTCTATGACTAAATGCCGTTGAAATTTTTGGTTCAGAGTCTGTTCTCAGCAAGAATATGGGTGCAGGTGGGGTGTTGTCGTGCTAATATCATCCTGTCTTCTGTTTTATCTTGCAAAATAGACTAGAAAACATTTCTAGGCATTTCTGCGAAATTAATTTTAAGTATTAAACGAGATGTGTTAATCGCTTGGACTGTGAGAGAAAGGGACTATAAAGGAGAAAGCAAATGGATGCAGTTTTAGTGTAGGCGAAGGAAGGAAGCTACTGGGTGGTGGAGGATGGTGTCTGATGGAGTGGGGACTAATCATATGAGGGAGCAGTCAGGCTCTGTGTTTTAACAGCACCCAGAACATACAAAGTTCAGTCTTTAGATGAACACACTATAACCTTTATCAGGGGGATATGGGCCTCCTCCACCATATGTACCAACCTTGCCTTTGAAGGGACAGTGTGTTGTGGTGAGCACAGTTTCTTTCCTGATTATTTGTAATTTAGCTTCAGCTGTTTTCCCCTCTTGGCTGCCCCTCTGTTCCTGTTGTGTTTGAGCCCAATCTGTCCCATTCTTCCCACCTACACAGCACAGGGTCCAGCTCTCAAGATGCTTGATCTCATCTTATTTCCCTTGCCCAGAGAGTTCCAGTCTCTTCTCTGCTGTTACCCTACCCCACATGTAGTGTCATTTCCAGTTACATGGGGCTCCTCAGTGTTCTTTCCCTGTTTCTTTCTGTGCTCTGAACCAGTTTCTCCTAGTCCCCATCAGTTTTCACTGTTAGAGCCAGATCTAAAAGCCAAAAACCTTGTATGCAGTGCTGGTGAAATGCAAAATACAGAGGGCTATTGTTGTGGTTTGGCTCTATGGAGGTACATAAAGAGGTAAGTGGGGGTTCAGAGGAGTTAGAGATGTTTGTGGCTTGCCCATGCACTGACTGAGAGCTGGGCACAAGGTATGGAGGGTCAGGGCAGTTGTTTCCAGACTAAAGGAAAATGGTGGGATGGTAGCTGAGATTTTGTTGCTTCACCTCCTCCCTCAGCCCCTTGTGAAAGCTCCTCCTTGAAGGACTCCAAGGACTCCTCTTGGTGTGCTTGGGGAAAATGTGACTTTGAAGTCAAAGCTGGGAACTGAGTCCCCTCGTTGCTGAATGTTTGGAGCTGGTGCTGTAACTCCAGCAGTGTAAAGTACTATCTCTGTGTGTACGGCCAAAGCACAAGATGTTTTATTGCTGCACCCAGAAGTCCATGTGTGTAATCCACTAGATGAATATATCAGGCTGCAGGTGCAGATTTACAGGTGTTGCTGTCAGGGCTGTCCCCTCAGAACTTACTGAAGTGTCACACTGGCTCCTCAGTTACACATTTTGCTCCACGGAGGTTATAGCATGTACAGGTGGAGATCATATTGTGCATGTATTTTCAGTATTGTGAGACTGTACACACCGCAGGCATGGAAGGAGAGGTTACATGTGCTGTGGGTGATGTTACACAACATGTGCTGCTGCAGAATTGTGCAAGAGAAATGCAGATAGGAGCCTGGCCCCATCTAATCCACTTGCTTACCGAAAGCCGGAGCCAACCCTTTAAATAACCCTGGTTTCCCAGCGGAGACAGGGAGATTGGATTCCTACATCTGCAACCTGAGCCCCCCAGTGCAAGATTGCAGCCCTGATCTTGACATCCCTGAGTAGTCCTGCCAGGTTATTAATGTGTGATTAGCGTGTAATAGATGAAGAAAGCGGAGGAAGGCTTGGGGGGTGATTTTGGTGTGGAAATTTTGAATTTTGGAGAAAAGTATGCCTCTGTTTGCCAGCAAGTCATTTGAGCCAGTAAGAAATCCAAGCAGCTGGGGTAATGAATCTGAACTTAACGAGAGGGCATGGCCTAGCAGAAATCTGGGCACAATGTCTTTCCTTGAAGGAGGGTCTGGAGAGAGCACGGGAGGTGCCAAGAGCAATAATAGAAGGGACTACCATAAATTAAAGGGAGTGGGATCCATGGTTGAGAGAAAGGGGCTGATTAAAGAACAGGCTGAGCTGAAAGAGGGAACAGCATCTAGGACTGGCAGAACGGTGTGGCCACTCTGCAGCCACTTGCTGGAGCCGGTGTTTTTAGGGACATTGCACTGCTTCCCAGCCCAGGGAACCCAACTGTGCCACTGGGTGCAAAGGGCAGGATCTGACTCATGCTCTAAGTGTTGCCAAAACAAACCAGAGCAACTTTAATCAGATCTCTGCTCTTCTGGTTGTGTTCCTTCACTGTGCTGCTTGGGCTCCATGGATACCTCCCAGTATCCAACCTTCACCTCTGCTGCTGGGTGGGTTTTTTTGGTGTTCGTCTTTCATCTTTTGGTTCTAAGGCTGTAGCTACTCCCTGGATTTCTGCAGAGCTCCTGATAAGCCCCAAGGTCCCAGATACCACGTCAAGCAAGGAGAGATGATCCCCTACCAGTTGCTGTCTGGGGAAAGAAGCAGACAGACTTTGCTCTGGTTACTCCTGAGAGAGTCATGGGAGCAGTGGGAAGGACATGAACTTGAGTGAACTGACCTAAGGGGAAATTTAAGGGCTCGTATTAGTTTTTGGCAGCATTTTCTGGTTGAGAGGAGCCTGGGGTGAGATGGAGACGTCTGGGTGTGCAAGAGGTATGAGCACAATCCTATTAGAACTGGCTTCCAGATGCTATCATCAGCTAAGGGATGCCAGCTTCTCAGGCTGGCGATGGGCCGGCACAGATGGCAGCTTTCATCACAGAAAGCAAGGACAAAGAGTAGTCCCAGTGCCCATGACCATGTACAGGACAAGAACATACTTCTGCCATTTTCCCTTTCTCCAAAATATCCGATGTTCTTTCTTGCAGCAGTTGGGAAGTTGTTAAAACCTGAAAAAGAAGAAACACCTTCCACATGGGTTTTTTTTCTCTGGTGGTGGAGGGAGGGAGGGTGAATGGAGACTACCTGAAAAAGAGGACCTGAAAGACCCAGTGTCCTGGGTCTTTCAAAGCAAAGCCGTGGCTGCGAGGCTTTCTTTCGAGCAATTGCAATGGTTTCACTCAAGTCTGAGCAGAAGAAATTTGATCCAAGGTTTGTAACAGTTCAGATGTGAGCAAACTTGAGCCTAGAGCCCCTACCCACTAAAGACTAGGTCAAGCAGATTTAGTTTCCTCTGGTCATTGAGCGGCTGGAGAGAATGAAGTAACCTGTCATGTATTCTTAAGCTGTGATTAATGAGACGCGTGTGTGGCTGTTTCAGAGTAAGATGAGACTTCAACCACGAGCAAAAACACAATCATTGCAGGGAAGGTCTTGTGAGTGGCACAGAGAGAGGGACCTGTTTTGCTCCCACTTACCACGAGAACACAAGTCTGTTTCCCCAGCAAAAATTGTGAAAGCAATGTATTTGATTTCATGTGCTCCTAGTTATTTTGAACTCTGTGGCCCTAAATGGCATTGACCCTGCTTTACTGACAGGTCCTTGGTAGCTGATGGACCCTGGGATTCCTCAATATGCAACAGAAAGGGCAGAAAGAATGTTTAACTGCAGATTTCATCCGATACGAGAAAGGGCAGAAAGAATGTTTAACTGCAGATTTCATCTCTGCGGTGCCCGATACAGTGCTACCTGGATGTGTCGTTTTTATGTGTATTTTGCAGAGTTTTTGTACCTTTTGCTGAGCAAGTGACTGGAGTCAGCTGTGAGTGTTTCTAGGGAAACATGAGATGTGGCAATGAGGAGGAGGAGGAAGGGGCTTCAGGAAGGCTCTAAGCCACTGGTTGCTGAGAAAATATATGAAGATAAAGAATCCTTCCATACCTGGCACATTCCTTACACTCTTTCCTTAAGCTTCTGTTACTAAGGCACAGGATTGTTGTTTAGATGGACCTTTGAACTGATTTGGAATGGCCATTCTTTTATCCTTATTCTGTAGAAATTCTGTGCTCGGGTGATTGTGTGGCATGCATAAGTTTGTTCAAGTAACACGAGTCTGTGACTTTGATTTCCTTGCATTGTATTTTTCCTGGGAGTGGCCGTGCTAACTCCACTGGAGTCTGCAGGACTCCATGGCTGACCTCCTCCAGTGGTTTGGAAAACTGCATAAAGGCTGTTTGAGTCTTTAGGCATATAATTCCTTTGGAAATCTGGCTCTTGGGCTCCAGTGCAGATACGCTTTTATGGCTATTTGCTTAATTGCAACTGGAACATTTACAAACAGCTTTTCTGAAAAACAAGAAAAAGAAAAAAACAAACCAACCCAAACACGCCTTTAGCAGTAATTCCCTCGTACATCTGAATGAACAGAGCAATCAGGAGATGCAGGGCTCTGGGCAATACCTTGGAAGGTAATTATTCAATTATTTTATGTCATGTTTGCTTCATTGATTAATGATTCTAGTGGCTGGTGAACTGGATTCTGTTCTGTTTTGACAGAAAAGGAAAGTTTTTATTTAATCTATGGTAATTTGAGGCTCCTTGGTGTTTCAGTCCAAGACTTGTAGGTACAAGACTGTCCTGGTGGGGGTTCTCTAGTGCACCTCTTTGTCAGCTTTTTATTAGTCACCTGGAATAAAATGAGCCCCCTTCTCCAGATGAGAACAACTGATTCAGCCCAAGGGCTCTAGTATTTCTAACAGCACGGATATATTTAATTCTGCTGGGGGTGCTAACATAAAATTGAAGAAATGGATTTGGCACTGGTGACTGTTACTGGTTGTACGGAGAACTAGAAGAGAGAATGTACTGGGGCTTAGAGTTTCAGGTTTGAGGAAAAGAGATCTGTGCTCTCTGCCCTCTCGAGACCTGCTAACGTTGATGTGGTCCTGCCTTAAGCGGAGTAAAGAATTGATTAGTTGTGCCAGACCATATTAATGACGATGAGCAGCCCCCCCTGCACGATCCATGAGTCTCCCAAAACCACACACACGGGCTGGGTTTGCCGAGGTGGAGCTCTTAGAAATCTGGATTTCAACTTTGTGTCCACTTAGCAATTTTACAGGACTGCTTGGTGTTTCAACTTTGTTACCTTCCTTTTGGGAAGAAGCAGCCTTTCTGCTATTTAACCACTTCAGGAAACCCTGTGGTTCACTACTGTGACCAGAATTCCCCAGTATTCTATGTGCAAGAAGACAAGTCTCTAACCACGTAATGACATGCACACACATATTCCAGTTCTATGGTTGGCACATCCCTACAGAGACAGGCATTCCTGTGGGATCTGCAGGAGAGGCGATGGAAAAATGCCAGCTTCCTCTCAGAAATAATTTAGAGAGGAAAGAGAGAGAGATTCAGGGGATTTTAATCAAAAAATACCCACAGAAATCTTCCAGCATTGGTTGCTTTTTTTTTTTTTTTCAACCCCAGGATGAAAACAACATTCTGTGTGCACTGAAGTGATTTCAAAATGAACCTCCCATTTTGTTGGTAAAATAATTGTTTTTCAGTAAAAAAAAAGAATTACATGTAGAAACCATATTTTCTTTCAATTTTTTATGAATTTATTATTTATTTTATGCTGGCAGCCAAGACTGGAAGTTCCTGCAGGTCTGCTTGAGCTGACCTGAGTTAGCTTCTGTGTATTTTGGGATGGAGGCAAGGAAGGTTGTGGATTTGGTTCCAGAAATAGTGAGGTAGGAAAAAAAGCGAAGGAGAACCATACACGATGACATGTAAAGTGAGTATGAGTATGTGTAGAAGATTGAATCAACAGCCAAGAAAAATAAGGAACTTCATGCCTCTAAATGTCATGCAAGTCCTTTGCAATGAGTTACTGCTTGATTTAAAATCAGAACTTTAAGTTTCCTGCACGCAGCCCACGCAATTTACCAGATAGTTGGGCTTTTCTGGTCTCTGTGTTGGTCTGTTTCCTTTCTACACCATCTCTCAGCCAGTCCCAGGAAAAAAAAGCAACTTTTCTTCTTTATCAAAACTGCTTGATTCTCAAGAAAACTTTTGTGATCTGACATATATGACTGAAGAACTACTTTATTGAAACACTCCCAGTGCCTCTACATTGTGTGTTAGAAATTCCTGTATTTTAATGGCCAAGTTAATTTGCTCAGGAAAAAGACAAAGTGAGTCTTAGTAAGCCAAGGGAGGTTCTTTTAAACTGTTCCAGAATGTTTAACTAAATCTCTAAGACAACTAGAATCATAGAATCATATATTTTGATTGGCCTTCTGTATAATACAGGAAGGAAAAGTGCCAGTGCAAGGAGTTTTGTGTTACTGAGATTTCAATCCTTTCTATGCTGATTCAGCTGGATGTGGTGGGATAGATACCCAGAGTGTTAAATCCTTTCCTTGCTTATTGCTCCCTGGGATCCCTTTGCAGGACTTTTTCAAGTAGAGATTTCACTGGGATCTAAATCAAAGTATGCATATATTTCTTATATGCCACGGGTTTTCTGTATCATGTTGGGGAAAGTCACTTCTTTCCTCTGTGCTTCAACCCTCTGCCTGTGTAGTAACTGTTGCTGTCTAAGATTTCAAGCTCTTCATTTCCTCTGTGCTTCAACCCTCTGCCTGTGTTGCTGTCTAAGATTTCAAGCTCTTCGTGTTCTGTGGTGATGTTGCTAAATGTCACCATGGATAGATGGGGAAGGAAGAGATTTCCTGGGGAAGGAAGAGATTTCCTGGGGAAAAAGAGCATCAGACCCTTCCACGACTGGCACGGCAGAGTCCTGCACTGTCACTCATGGTGATTTTGTGGCTGCATCCCAGTAGAGATGGCAGCTGGTTTGGTGCAAACCCATGTCCCTCTGCATTGTTGTGTCTTGCTCCCTGCTGTCCCCATCTCCTGTGTTACCCACTCCTGGCTTCACCCTGCTCTCTCCTCTACCAGGTGACGTTCAAGTGCTCTGTGGCAGTGGTGCAGGGACACACAGCACTGGAAGGAGTGCTGCTCTTTGGCAAAGAGCACTTCTACATCTGTGAGTACTTTGTGTTATCCCCACTAGAAGAAGTCTACTGTACACGTCACTGCTTGTCCAGGTAAGTTCCTTCTTTCCTCCTGGAGATCTGCTTCGTTAACTTCAGTGTTGGCACATGGACACCTGGAATTTGCAGAGACTGAAGGGGCACAGGAAGAAGTTTGCCATCCTTGCCATCTGTTCACAGAAGTATTTAACATAACTAACATAGGTGCTTCTTGACAGGCTCTGGAGGTGCAACAAGAGCTCCCAGCTCCAACAGATGGAGATGGTGGGCAGCCTAACACATAGGTTGCTGTTTTTCAAGTCTTTTAAAGTGTTGTTAATGTTTCTGACTGGCTCCCATCTTTTATTCATATGGAGCAGTCATTACAAGAGCCTTTAGCTTCATCATCTCCCAAGTTTTTTTTTTTTGTTTGTTTCTCCAAGACAGAATCGTAATTAATATTTGGCACACTGCTATCATCTTTGACTCATGATTTATTGAAACTAATCAATATTGAAAATGAGTCTGTTAGACTTAGCTCTTTGCGCGTGCTGTGTGCTCATGTGCAAAGCCCAGCGGGGCAGTGAGTAACTCGGTGTTTTTACTCCCTGTCTGCTCTGCATCCCATTCCTACCCAGTCCGACACCAGTCAATCCCATCAGGTGACTTACGGGTCGATTAGGCTGGGTCTGATAAAAGCTTCAGTTGTTTTTCTAAGGGATTTGCTATGGGCGAGGCTGTAGATAGCAATTGCAGTACGTGTACACAACCAACGTAATAATGAATTAATTGCTTAATTATTAGTCCCAATTAATTGCTGTTGATAATAGCTGTATGTCCATATAATGCTTGCCCTTCACCCAGGCTTTCAGGTTGTCCCACTCAGCACCTTCCCTTGTTGCTTCTCAGACTTCAGTGTGTGCAGAACATTGCTGTCTGCCTATTTACATTCACTACGATAATTCCAAACCTACCCTTAGTCTCCACAAGCTCTTTATTTTACTTTGGGAACTAGTGCAAAATTTGCCTTCATTATTTAGCTTTGTTTTTAATTCACGTATTTGATCTTGCTGTCTCTTAGTACTTTTACTCTTCTTTATGGAGCACTTGGATGTTCATGAAAGCTCTCCTGATCTTTTGCTTTTCAAATTAGTTTTTCTTTCTTTATATTTTTCTCTTCCAGCATCAGTGATCCATTTATTTTCAACCTATGCCATAAAGATCACGCTGTGGGAGATCAGTTGTGTTCCCGTTATTCGTATCATGATATAAAAGAGATTCATCTGATGCGCTTTCTCCTGCAGGTAGGAACTAACACGCTCAGTCATTTGAAGGAAAGCTGCAACAGCAATAATGATGTGTGACTGAAACTGCCTGCACGATTTTTACTCAGACTGTTGAGATTTCTTTGCTTGAGTCCCAAAATGCTTTTTCTCCCATCATTGCTTCATTAGCCTTTGGTAATACAAACTCATTCCTATGTTCACCAGAGAGTTTAAGCACCCTCAGTGGAGTGGCTGTCTCATTAGTTGTAAGGCTAACAGCTAATCACAGTTGTTCACAACTTCACAGTTTATCTCAATGTTTTTGGAAATAAGACTTGAAGTCAAGTCCCTGTGTTTTGATGGAAGCTCCCAGTAAATGTCTGACTTCTAGTAATACTCAGCTCCCACACACCTCAGTAGTTCTGGACACTGGTGGATTATGAGGCCTCTTGGAATAATTTTCAAGTTGTGAATGTGAGTCGATAAATGAATTGTAAAATGGAGCAGAGGATTTGAATATTCTGTGTCTTCAGCTGCGCTATGGAGCAGAGGATTTGAATATTCTGTGTCTTTAGCTGTGCTACCCAGAAGCTGCTCATCACCAGTGGCCTGGTACCCTTTTTATTTTGTCTGGTTTAGATGAGCCCGTTGGTGAGAATCACAGAAGAGTTGTAGCTGGAGCTCCTTGCAGCACCAGAGCCTGTACTTTTGGTACAGTCTAAAGAGTAATTCACAGATTTCATTTATATAATGACCAATACAGAGTTTTGAAGGAGCCATAATTAATTTGAAGCAGCCCATAGCCAGTTACCCTTGTTTTGAATCCATTCTTGGATCGCTGAGATTCAACAGAGAATTAAGAAATTGTTTGGAAAAGTCAAAAAGTTGGAGAACATGGGGCTGATATATGTAGTATGGCATCATAACTCAGCCCTAGTTTATTTTATATTTAATTATGTATGCAAAATGGACAGGTTTTAGTAGGGGAGACTTGCTTCAGGATATAGCATGTCTTAGTGGTTAGGTGACTCTGCAAGTGTGGACAGGAACGTTAAGTCCTTTTCTGAGCTATGAAGCTTATTTTCTTCCATCACTGGTGAGCAACCTGAGCAGCAGAACTGTCACCTCTTCTGTTTTGTGAAAAGCATCAAAGTTGCCAGTGGAATCTTGCCGCCTCCTCATATAGTCACATCTTTGTGTATGCAGGGATATTTATTTAAACATCTGAAATGGAAATGGTTTGTGACCCAAAGTAAAACATGGAGATGAGCAAAAACAGTCTTTGAATGAGCCTGGGGCAAAGGCAGGGCTTGTTGGTTTGAGGCCTTTTTGGTTTTGGGGCTTTTTTGGCTTTTTTTGTTTGTTTGTTTATTTTTTGCAGGACAGGTGGATCAGCTGTCATAGCTACTCTCATATTACCTTTCTGCTTTATAATTAACTTGTGAATCACGTTTGGGGCAGTTGCCATTGTGGTGTTTTTTCTAGGTTTGTATCACACCTGCCACATTTGGATTGAAACTCGTGTCTGGGTTCCCAGACACTGCACCTTATTTATAGTTTTACTTGACTGACTTTGGGGGGAAGAAAGGACCACTCCCTGAGTAACTAATAGGGTTATATGCAAATGCCCAACATAACAATGTGTGGAGATATTGCAGAAAAAAGAGTGTGAATTTTCCAACTTTGATTATTTTTAAAGCTTCAGTGAGAAATGTCATAAACTCCCCTTCCTCTTCTGCTGCTTCTAGGCAGGAGAAATTATTTTGCATTTCTGTTGAGCTCACTGTTCATTTAGAAACCAGTATGGTTGCTTTTGAAAAGAAATGCTTATTTAGCCTCCCCTCTTCATGTTACCTTTCTCACCTAATTAGAAGTTCATGTTACTCTCCTGTCTTGTTAATCACCCTGAGATTTCAAGACAAAAACGCTTCAGAAGCAGTGGGAGGAGACGGGTGATGGAACCAATATCTGGAGTTTGGGTCTGCTTCAGAGAAGCATTTGAACTCCCAGTCAACCCAGTAGGGCCATTCCTACAGTTGGAGAAATTGGGAATATTAGACATATTTTGCTACACTTCTTTACATGTGATACAAAGTCGAGGCCTTTTTGTTTTTTTCAAAGTCCTGAAAAATTGGACAGGCCACGATGGACACTTTGCCCTGCAGCTCTTCACACTGTAAATGCTTTACTTTTCCAGGAGATCGCCTTGGAAATATTCTTCAAAAATGGTTACTCCAGATTTCTTGTCTTCCATGACAGCGACCGAAATAAGATATTTAAGAGGTAATTACTACTTCATAATAACATGAACACCCAGGTGATGCTCCTGGTCTATCGCTCCTATTTATCCTGGCCTCAGGTGACATTCTGGTGCTGTTGCAGGGGCTTTGTCTTCAACTGCAGCTCCTTGGTCTTTAACGGGTTACACTTCAACGAAGCTATAAAATTTTTCCTTTTGCTGACCTGGGAATTCTCCCGAGCATTATACAGGCATTGATTTATCAAGGGAGCTAATGCGTGTGTAGGACTCCTCTAGCACCCAGTGGTGTGTATTATGTCCCTGCAGCCCAGGAAATTGCTGTTACAGCCACGCTGCTTCCTCTCACTCACATGACACACCTCTGTCTCACCTCAAAGTACTGGGTGAAAGAAGGCTGGTGTTCTGTTCTGCCATTTTTGCTAGATAAATGTCTGAGTGGGTGTCAGGATTTAACCCCAGCCAGCAACTAGGACCATGCAGCCACTCACTCACTTCCTCCATACCCCTACTAGGGGTATAGAGAAAAAAGAACTAGGACCATGCAGCCGCTCGCTCACTTCCTCCATACCCCTACTAAGGGTATAGAGAAAAAAGAGGGGAAAAAAACCTTGTGGGTTGAGATAAAGATAGTTCAATAGCACAGTAACAGAAGAGAAAATAATAATAATAATGGTAAAAAGAATATGCAAAATAAAGTGATACAACAAAAGTCACACTCACCACCCAGTAATCGATTGCCCATCCCATCCCTGAGCAGTGATTGCAGGTCCCTGTCCCCCTGCCCAGCCCCCACTTATTTACTGAGCATGAGGTCTATGGTATGGAATATTCTTTTGGCCAACTTGTCCTGTCTGTGTTCCCTCTCACTTCTGTGGGAAGCTGAAAAAGTCCTTGACTAATGCAAACATCACTTAGCAACAACTAAAACAATATGTGTTATCAACATTGTTCTCACACTAAATCCAAAACCCAGCAGCTACTAGAAAGAAAATTAACTCTTATATCGGCTGAAATCAGGACAGTGGGTTCTTATTCTCTGGCTTTAATAGAACCTTAAACCACCTGATCATAAGTCCGTAGCCCTATATATCAATTTGTGGCCCTATTTGGGAAATAAACTGCTTTTATCCAGCACATAGGCAGCTCCTTAATATTAAATGTATGTTTTTGCTGTGTTGTCTTGTAGCTTTGTCCTGGGTTAGAGTGTCAGTTAATAAACTGCTTTTATCCAGCCCATAGGCAGCTCCTTAATATTAAATGTATGCTTTTGCTGTGTTGTCTTGCAGCTTTGTCCTGGGTTAGAGCGTCAGTGAGATGTGGTGTCCTTCAGAAAGAAAGTTGCTGTCAGGATGTGACATAGATTATATAGATACGTAATGTAGACAGATAACTATTTAAATAATTGTAATGTGACCTTTCATATCTCCTGTAGATTTTGCTCTTTCCAACCTGCTTTGAAGTCGAAGGGAATAACAGAAGAGTCCCTGAATATAAGGTAAACCAAAACATATGAAACATTGGATAACTGTGGATAACAAGTACAATTGTGTGAATAAATTTCACCTTAAAAATAGCACATAGAAATGTACCTATTTGTGCCACCTATTTTAAAGATTCAAAGGTATCCCCAAAATCCCAAAAAGCATTCCAGTGTACAGCATTCACAGTGAAGACATGAAAAATGTGTTGAGTAGCTGACTGTGCATAGTTGATTAATAATTATTACCTCCTTAATATGACTTTATTGGTAAACTCTACACAGATGGTTCATGTGGGAAAGAGTGAGGTTAGAGCTAATCTATAATGCTTCTGCATAATGGGCTCTATATTGCGTGGTGAGGGCAGTGATAGATGTACACATGGATGTTCTGGCATCTTATAGTGGTGTTGATTGTGTCATGCAAGTTAGAGATCACTGCCCCCAGGTATAGCACCCAAAATCCCAGAGAACTTGCTTTGTGCAGAGTCTGGCTCCTTTCAGCATGAGCTGAAATAAAATAGATAGAAGATAGCACCACTGCCTAAGTAATGATCCCAGAAAAGTTGTGCTTCCAAGGAAAGAGAGAAACTGACCCTGGTGGGCATGCTTCCCTTTATTGAGCTCTGGTCTGGGAACTGAAGGACTGAGGACTTAATAAGTTTACTTTTCCCTCCTTTGAATGCTGGAGCTGCTCCTGAGTCAGAAGAATTCAAGAGCAGCACAAGGAGGGGCTTCCCCATCTAGGGAGCAATGACCATCTTCCATAGCATCCCAGACCTTCCTGCCCTGCCGGAGACTGAAAGGCAGGCCAGGTCAGCTCTTTGCCCAGACACACGAGTAGTAATTGCACAGCTGAGGTGTGGAAAGAAGAAGTTACTAGTTTGAAGTATCATATGTCTCTGAGGTAGTAGCATTTTTGCACCCAATCCATAGGAATAATGCACAGGAGCTCTGATTCCCGTGCTCTACTGTAGCCATTTAAAAAATTATAATGGGCTGTTACTGGACAACTGAGTAGTTTGCTCCTGGGGCTCTAGTCTTCGTTTAAATATTCTTAAATGTTTGCTGTCACCGTATGTTACTATGCCCAGAGCCAGCACCTCTCCCCGTGCCATGCTTGGCTGCTTTTATAATCTGTTCCCTGCTCGTACCTGTGTGTTGCTGTTTGCAGGCTGCTGGGCTCTGCCCTAGGGGTGTGATTTGAGCAGGTGGATGTGTGTGCTCAGGTGCACACGTGCGTGCACAAGTGTGAACAGAAAGCTAAAAGTACCAGGTTTTATCAGTTCACCAGGTGACTCTTGGATCATGGAAAAGGATGACTCTTCTTCTCTTGGTCACTGCTTAAGTGATGTGCCCAGGACCCTTAATAAGAGGAATCTTTTCCCCTTCTGGACCTTTCTTGGAGGGAAACTCAGAGCCAGACAGAACACAATGAGTGTGATGAGTAGTGACGCTGATTGTGGCGTTCAAGTTAGAGATCACTGCATCCAGGTATAGCACCCAAAATCCCAGAGAACTTGATTAAGCAGAGTCTGGCCCCTTGAGGGCAAACAGGATCACTGGTTGTTTAGCTCAAGCATTTTGGGTTTGCACTGTTTATTTACTCCTGAGCATAACGTTTGTGTCGGTGGAACTGGAACAGGCTCATGGTTCCTACACTGACGGTGCCTCTCTGAGATTCCCTGAGGGGCTGGTGGCAGCCACCAGCAGCAGAAAATTCCCAGGTCTGTCTCTGTTCCTCCCAGTGGTATTGACTGAGACTGGTTTAACTGTCTCACTCCATAAAAAGGAACAGGACTCATGTTTGTGACTCAGTGGTAGGAATGGAGTTACCAGAAAAGCTTCTTTTTGAAGATTCCTTCACCGGACACTTGCACACACAAAAGACAAAAAGAAACCCTAAAACCCAAACATGGAGAAGGTGTTGTAGGAACAGGTACAGATGCTAGAGAATAGTCCTTCCTTTCCCAAGTATACAACTGGTTCGGTTGGCTTGGATTTCATTTCAGAGGCCACACATAACTGCTGCTTTTAAAACCACGTAGATCTTTAAAGGAAGAGAACTGCAGGAAAAGGCAGGAGGAAGGACGTCAGCTCTTTATTAGTTTGGGCTGGACTTCAAGAGATGTCATCTGCGGAGTGACTTGACAAATCGTCTCTTAATCTCCATTCTTCTTGGTTCTCCTTTGCAGTGGAATTGGGTGTAAGGAGTGACGAGAAACTTGACTTCTTTGAGGAGCTGGGTGTCACATCCGTTAACTGCTGCAGCTTGTCCCTCTCACCCTTACACAAATACAGGCAAGAAGAGCACAGGTCTTTCTCTTGTACTAAGTGAAGCGTTTCTACACGTTTGATGGGGTCAGAGTGGTCTTCTTGCTCTATTGAATCTGGGAAAGGGTTTCTTTCTACATTCATCTTCTTGAGCTTGGGGAGGTTTTTCACACTGTTTGGGATGGTGGTCAAGGCGTTGTCAAAGAGACCTAACTCCGTAAGTTCCTTTAGGGCCCCAAGACTGGTAGGAATACTGTCAAGACGGTTCAAGCCAAGGTTGAGAATATGCAGGTTCTTGAGAAGGTTCAGCCCTTCTGGCAGATTGCTGCTGGTCAGCTTGTTGTTGCATACATTCAGGTAGAAAAGGTTCTCAAGTTTCCCTATTGCCTCAGGCAGCTCCTCGAGCTGGTTACTATGCAGGTCCAGCCAGCGCAATTTCTGGAACTTCTCGATGCTGCCTGGAATCTTTTTTAACATGTTTCTGCTCAAATCAAGTTCATCCACGTCAGCCAGTTTCAGAATGCACTTGGGAAAGGTGGTGATACCCATTTTGCTTAAGTCAAGACGGCGCCGTCCATCAAGAGTTATGCGGATGGAATTTTTGGCAATTTTCAAGGTGATCTTCTTCCCTTTTGGACCTTTTGCCTTCCCTTTGGCCATGTCTCCACTGAGAGCCGGACAGACGCACCAGCCTCTCGATGAAGTCTGGGAACTTCAGTAAAGCCTTTGAAAGCCGTGGCTGTTACTGCCTAATTAAAAACAAAATAATCACTTGGTTATAAATTAACATGTGACCGCTGGACTCTTCAGAATTCTTTTTTTTTTCAAGGTCAGGAGTTTCCCACCCTGGAGCTACAAATCTGAAGGGTCTTCCTGAAAATATTTTGAGTATGTGAAATTCTAATAACTTACAATATTATTTTATTTCATTGTAACACCTATATTATATTGTATTCCAAGTGGGAGAAATTTGCTGTCTTTCATCCCTTGGTACTAATTTGAGCTCAGCATGGAATGAAACTGAATGAAATGTGTTATTATCCATCAGCCATGTGAGGACCTAAGCCAAATGTTTTCTGGGTCTCAACCCAGTCCTTAGGGATTACACTAAAAGAAGCTATCCAAAATTGGACTGATTCTACCAGACCAACAGGTTGCCTTCTTTCCAGGCCTGGGATCTGCTGACAGGTTGGTCAAACATCCTGTTCAATGGACCTGAGATTTGGGCTCTGGATGCTATTGAAAGATTAAATATTTAAAGCAAAGGATTGAGTCTTGTTTTAAGCAGGACCTCAGGACCCCAGCAGGCTCCCAGATTTGGCAGGACTGCTCCCAGTTCACACAACAGGGGGTCTCCAACAGGGGCTTTGTGTCTGTGCTGCTTAATGACAGGCTAAATCAGGCCTTGGTAAGTGTCTTCTGTGCTTTCACAGAATCACAGAATGATATGGGGTTGGAAGGGACCTCTGGAGATCATCTCCTCCAACCCCCTGCCAGAGCAGGTTGCACAGGAACGTGTCCAGGTGGGTTTGAACGTCTCCAGAGAAGGAGACTCCACCACCTCTCTGGGCAGCCTCTGCCAGGGCTCTGCCACCCTCACAGGAAAGAAGTTCCTCCTCATGTTTAGATGGAACTTTCTATGTTCCAGTTTGTGCCCATTTCCTCTTCTCCTGTCCCTGGGCACCACTGAAAAAAGCCTGGCCCCATCCTCCTGACACTCACCCTTTAAGTATTTATAGGTGTTGATCAGATCCCCCCTCAGTCTTCTCTTCTCCAGACTAAACAGACCCAAGTCCCTCAGCCTTTCCTTATAAGAGAGATGTTCTAGGCCCCTCATCATCTTTGTAGCCCTTTGCTGTCCCCTCTCCAGCAGTTCCCTGTCCTTCTGGAACTGGGGAGCCCAGGAACCCCTTCAAGGACAGACTCTAAATACTCCAACCTTGTCTTTCCATCCATGCTGTGGGACAGATGGATTCCCACTGCCCTCCAAAAACACATTAATTGTTCTGGGAAAGCTTTTGATTCATACTCAGCACTTGCTACGCGCTTTGATGGATCAAGGGCTGTATGAGCCGTGTCTACTGTAGTCTCAGGTTTGGTGATCGATCTCTAATCAAAGGCCATCGAATACAGGTGCTAATTATGGCCAGTGACAAAGGAAATAGGTTGATTCCTTGGAAATGGATGACAATGTCCCTCTCAGCAGAGAGCAGAGAGGAGCATGGGTTACAGCTGGCTAATCTCAGGATGCTCTGGCATTTAATTGTGAAGAGTCAAATCGCAGCGTTGATGAATGATTGTTTGGGACAAAATATGGATTTGTCTACAATACATTTCCCTATTAGAAAAGCTTCATTACAAACCCTTCAGGCTTTTTGGCTACTCATTAATCATGTGCAAATACATGAAGGGGAAGCTCAGGCTACAACTAAGGCTTTTCAGCTCCTTTTCAATTACATGCCATAGCCAAAAATAATGCAAAAGCAAGAGGGATCTCTGCCAGTCACCACCCACCCTCCTGGGAGCTCTGCAAGGAGGCAGATGCTTCAGAAAATCCTGGAAGCAGCGCAGTGGGGTCAGTCTTGCCCAGAGGGTATGTTCCAAAATTGAATCTTTGTTATTTTATATAAAAATACTCAAACACAGTTAAATCTTTCTGTGTCTGTCTCCCATGTTCCTGTCTCCACCAGTAGTTGCAGGGCCATATTACCATTGTATCTCACTCTTTACTGTATTTAACTTTACAGTGTCCCAGGGTTAATATTGATAATGTAGACTGATAACTGAAGCAAAATACAGCAGAAAATTAAGCATTTTTTCCACCTTTGTTGATCTCAGCTTAAATAATTGCCCTAGGAGTTAGGAATTTCTAGAGATAAAACAATAGAGGTTTTTTTTAATCACAACTGACTTATTTTAAGGACTTGATGCAATATTCTTGTTGGCAATTCTCTGAAGATAAAGTTCAGCTGCATGGGAAATGGGAGAGCCCTGCTGGGGATTCAGGGCATCCTAAGTCCCTTACTGGTGCACAGAGGGTGGCAACCGTGCTTCAGAAATGGATGCAAAGAGACTTTCTTCTTCCTGCAGTTGATGTCAAGCTGGTGATTTTGGGGTCCAGCTTCCCCTTTGTTTGAATTTTGTGTTGGATAAGTTGGCCAAAACATTCAGTGCGCTGGGAGTGAAGTTTTTCATCCATTTTTTTTAATCACAACTGACTTATTTTAAGGACTTGATGCAATATTCTTGTTGGCAATTCTCTGAAGATAAAGTTCAGCTGCATGGGAAATGGGAGAGCCCTGCTGGGGATTCAGGGCATCCTAAGTCCCTTACTGGTGCACAGAGGGTGGCAACCGTGCTTCAGAAATGGATGCAAAGAGACTTGCTGCTTCCTGCAGTTGATGTCAACCTGGTGATTTTGGGGTCCAGATTCCCCCTTGTTTGAATTTTGTGTTGGATGGGTTGGCCAAAACATTCAGTGCACTGGGAGTGAAGTTTTTCATCCAAGTGTGCCTTTAAAAAAATACGAAAGGGAGCCTCGAGGAAAAATACATATATTTTTTTCTAAATTCAAAATGATAATTTCTTCTAAAATGCTTTTAAAAACATCTTTAAAACTCTCAGAAAGAAAAAAAATTGTTCTGTTTTAGGAGGGGTTTTTTTTCCTATTATTTTTAATTTAAATTCCATGCGGGAAACGTTAATCCAAACCAGTTTCTTCTCTTAAAAATCCCTGCTAGCCCAAAGTGGGATGTGTCCTGCAGCTGGTGCTGGTGTCCCCGGTGCTGTGTGTGCCTGGAGCACTAGAGGGAGCCTGGTGTGGATGGTTGAGGGCTGGAGCCTTGTCAGAATAACAGTCGACCTTTTATGAAGTTTGAAGGTGGACCTTTCAGATTTTTAAGAAGTCCAAGCAGCCAGATGAGCGTAGTTTTCCTGCGGGCAGGTCTCTCTGTGTGATGCACTGGATAATGCCCAGGCTTCAGGGAGGCTTAAATACCTCCTTTAGTCAGATTTCTTTATATCCTACTTTGGGCCTCTCAGATGTGCTGATGAGGAAAGCATGAGTCCCTGGGGAGTGCTCACACTTTCCAAGTGCTATTTCCTTTGGGTTAAAAGTGGAAGCCATGTTTCAAACTTAGAAAAAGGTTATTTTCCTTTTAGTACCTAAAAGGGCTCCAGGAGAGATGGGGAGGGACTCTTGATCAGGGAGTGGAGCAATAGGACGAGGGGGAATGGTTTTAAACTGAAAGAGGGGAGATTTAGATTAGACATCAGGAAGAAATTCTTTGCTGTGAGGGTGGTGAGGCACTGGAACAGGTTGCCCAGAGAAGCTGTGGCTGCCCCATCCCTGGAGGGGTTCAAGGCCAGGCTGGATGGGGCTTGGAGCAACCTGGTCTGGTGGGAGGTGTTTGAACTGGGTGATCTTTAAGCTCCCTTCCAACCCAAACCATTCTATGATTTTCAACCCTGAAGATAGGGATTAGCATTAGAGTTTTGCAGAAACACTGCAGTGCACTAGACAGCTTGAAGGGGATGAATAGCTCTCTTGTCTCTGCATGCTTGTAAACTAATTATCAGTGTTTCACAGGGCTGTAACTGGAGATAATGGAGCTTACTTAGCCACGTCTCATTTTCTTTAGCTCTGCATGAGAGGGCTCCAGTTCCGTAGCCACTGATATTAAAAATTCAGGAATCGCAGGAGCCCTCCTCGCTGTAAATGTTAATTATGCCTGTTCGATCTCATGCTCGCAGTGCATCTCCTGGGATGGCAGAGGGAGAGGTACATGTGTTGCTCTTCTACCTAAGAAATGACGATGACAAGAGGGAACTCCCTTCACTCATTTTCTTTGCTGTGAGGGTGGTGAGACACTGGAACAGGTTGCCCAGAGAAGCTGTGGCTGCCCCATCCCTGGAGGGGTACAAGGCCAAGCTGGATGGGGCTTTGAGCAACCTGGTCCAATGGGGCATGTCCCTGCTCATGGCAGGAGCTTGGAGCAAGATGATCTTTCATGTCCCTTCCAACCCAAACCTTTCTATAATTTCTCCTTATATGCACTTTAGCACTTGCACAGGGCCCAGATATGACCCATTGTAGCTTAAGCCTGTCCTAAGAAGGAGATCTGATCCTAGAAGAACACAACTTTGGATCCTGATGATGCAGTCTCTTGTACCTGAACCTTTCTTTTTCCTTTCTCAGCATAGGACTGGCAGGGGCAGAACAGACCTTCTACCTGTGACACTGCCTGGGTGTTTCAGGATCTTCTCCTGTGGTTCTGCCTGCTCTTCTTCTCCCGTAGGTTGCTGCCCCCAAAGCTGCCCAGAACCATCCTGATCCCACCCTGACCTGGTCTGTGAGAAAAGTTGCCTTTGTTTTTCCTCCTGGAAGTCTGCACATTGTGGAGCAGGTTTGCCAAGCCCGGCAGAGCTCTGCATGCCCTGGAGCTCTCTGGGGACAGGAGAGCAGTGAAGTGTCACCTTTACTTTCATATAAAGCTTAAAACCAGCATTCATACAGTGAAATGATTCTTGCATGAAGCCAAGCAGTTCCAGCCCGGGAATGTTTTTATTTTCCTGCTTAGGAGCCTGTTACCGTTTCCTTGTTGTTGGATACAACCTGTTGTGGAAGAGAGATTAATTCCCTGACTGTCTTAAATGCAGTCTCTTGCTAACAGGCAGGTTTGGACTCAATCCAACCATGAGCAAATAGAGAGAGAGAGAGAGCTTTCCTTCCTTAATTTTCTTGCTTTTCCAGATCACTTCAGAGCGAGGTCACTTATAAATCCGAGGCCCACCAAGAATAAACAAAAATACTGTTTCCTCTTAACAATTCTGCCAGACTGCCCCCCTGCATAAGATCTTACCTAGATGTCCCGGTAGTGTGGGATGAACCTTCATGCTCTGTTACTGTGCAGTCATCCTCTGTCTACTCTTCTTTGAGCAATGAAGCATTTCTCAGCCTGGAAATAAACCTGTGGATGGAGAGCACAGGATGCTTTCCTTTGCACAGTGCTGCGAATGCTGAATCATACTTCCTTGACGGAAAATGAAGAAACTTGTGTGTGTGAGTGTGTGGGGAGGAGGAGGGGGAAGAGGAGGAGTGGCAAAAAGGAGTTCCCCAGCTCCAGGGTCTCTCTATTCAAGTCTCCTTCCGCAGCCTGTGAAACTTTTGTTCCTAAGCAACAGCCACGCCGGGTCCTTGGAGTTCATTAGAATAATGTCTGGTTCCAGCGTGGGAGTTCAAGCTGGAGGGGAAGGAACCGGACGGCAGGCAGTGCCCGAAATGTTGGATTTCAAATTATGCAGAAAGAAAAAGCATCTGGACCTGGTTAGAAGCTGTTCCTTCAGCTTCCCTTTGTAACATGTGAATAATCTTCTTAGTAATGTGAATTTCCCTTTGTAAAGTGAATTTACTGGGATTTGTCTCTCTGACTGGGGCTACCAAACTCAAGCTTTAAGTAACTGGTTGCAATAAATTCAAAATAGTATCTGGGGGAAAAGAGAGGTGGAAGAGAAATAGCTGAGTGTTTGCTGGTAGGTGGTGTTCACAGGAGATGCAACATTGAGGTCCCTTTTTCTTGGTCATAACACATCTGTGATATTATTGGCATAAAGAAGCTGATAATGTTGCTGTACTTGCCTGATTCTGGTTGGGGATTGTGTTCTGCTCTCCTCAACAAATTAAATTTACTTGAAGTTTTTCTTCTATGACCTGAAGTGTGCCTGGGTGCAGCATGTCCCCAGGGGAAATGTTATCCCTTTGGTGAATACACACTGTGCAGAGTGTTCTGTAAAAGGGAGAGATTCCTTTCTCCCTCTCCAGCCCCTTCAAGGCATCCTACTTCGGTGAATACACACTGTGCAGAGTGTTCTGTAAAAGGGAGAGATTCCTTTCTCTCTCTCCAGCCCCTTCCAGACCTACTTTGAGGAACCCTACTTTAATATTATACTTATTTATAAATTTTGTATTATATCTCTGTTCTTTGAACACAGAGTAATACCCAGAAGGTGGGCTGGTGCAATCAAACAAGGAGGACACCATACCTTTATTCTAAAATAATCTAACCTAGCACTTTTTTGAGGTTTGAGAGAGGCTTGACTGTTTCCCAGGGAAAGCTGACATTCCTTTTAATAATAGGACTTTGACCTAGGTTGTGGCTCACCAGGAAGAGGATTTCCCTCACAATATTTTTCGTAATTGCAAAGATTTTTTTAAGAAAAGTGGTTTTAGGAGAGCCTCAGCACTGTTTATCAGACTTAAGAAGTCAGGAGGATGGAAGACAAAAAGAAAAATGAAAGCAGCTTTTGTGAAGTCTAAGAACCCAATTAACTTCATTGGAATTTTAGTATTAATTTCAGTGGGGGCAAAAACTTACCCTTTGAGATTATCTCATCTGCAATGAATCTCCAAATGGATTGAGGTCCACCTGTCTCTAGCAAATGGAAAGCACTGGCTATCACAAGAGTGAGATCATAGTCTGATGTTAATGGAAGAGGGATTAATAAATCACTTCTGTATAGCGTAGCCAAAAGTGGATCATCGTTATCATCATGCTTAGATTCTGCCACAGCTAGAGCCCTACAAATACCTTACAGATATAGGTATAGAGGAACATGTAAGTACTTCTCTTGACTTTACGTAAGAAGACTAGTTACTTACATTTATGAAACGCTTCTCTTTTTCCTTTTTCAAACCAGCCTTTGATTATTTATTTCTTTTTAAATGCATTTACTGCGGTTGGATGGCTGCAGTTGATCTGCTTTGAGCTTTTGCTGTGCTGGCTGGAGAGGTGTTGTCTGGAGGATGCTGATTGATTACTGAAGGGAGGAATGAGCTTGAGCTGCCTGTAACACGATTCGTGTTCTAAGCCCTTACGAGCCAACAAGGGAGAATGCAGAATTCCAGATCTCTGGAGTCTCGGAGGGACCATCCTGCCCAGTCCCCTGAGACCCAGAAGGATGGCTCTTACATTTAGCCTTTCGTATTTCCACGACGTGGTGAACTCATCAACCTCTTTGAATTATATAGCAGCTTCCAACCAGCTTTAACCAGAGAAATGATTGTTTTGACCCTTGTAGAGTCTTTATTCGCTGTTTAGGGCTTGTGACAAGCACAGCAGGAGTTCCACTGGAGGGTGGTGGCACCCACAAGTCAACATATATTATGTATGTTTGCAAAACATGCACACAGACTGTTCCAGTGTAGTCCAGCGTATAGTAATCTGTAATGCTCCTACTTTAAAATGTTAGAGGGCTGATGGATTGAGCAGGTTTGTACATTGCATAACCCCCTGCTTTTGAACTCAGCCATAAATCCAAAATAAACCCGGGCAGTTTTAGTGAGTCTGCCCCTGTGGAAAGGGAAGAACCAAACCTGATCCCTCTGTGGCAAACACCCTAATCCAGCCACACTTCAGATAACGCCAGGAATCCTGGTCCTGTTCCATCCCTTTGAGATGCTTTCTCCAAGTTCCAAGTGTCTGTTGGAGACCTTACCAAGGCCAGCGAGGCAGAGCTCTGTGAAATCCGAATATAGTGTGAGAGGGCTGAGTTGTAATGAGTAAGCCCTTGTGACATGTATTTTTTTACTTTTAAATTCCTACATTCTTGAGCCACATGTGGTTCAGATGGTGCCAAACCACCATAACTATACTCTAGGCAATGGACTTTCTTCTGATTTATGAATTAGACCATCATATAATCTATCTTTTTTTTTTTTGGACAAAGTGAAGATCCTATTTTCCCATATCAGATACAAACTATACCTTTTTGTTCTGCATGGTTTCTACAAATACAGCCTGTTATTGTTGGGTTTCAGGTGCTTAGCAGGAGAACTAAACAAAGTGTAAGAGTTGTAGACCATAAGCAAGAATTAGTCCTGGGTTTCATGTTCATTCGTGGAATAGATTATTACCTAGGTTATGCAAAACCTTCCCTCAGATACACACTTTTCTTGGAAGAGAGTGCCTAAGCAAGGAATAAAATACTGTGAGGAAACCATAGTGTTTTTCCTTTATGTATTTTATTATTTGGTCCAGGAGTGAACAGGCAGTAAAATAATCATAGAATCAGAATGCTTTGGGTTGGAAGGGAGCTTAAAGATCATCCAGTTCCAACCCCCTGCCCTGGGCAGGGACACCTCCCACCAGACCAGGTTGCTCCAAGCCCCATCCAGCCTGGCCTTGAACCCCTCCAGGGATGGGGCAGCCACAGCTTCTCTGGGCAACCAGAGTTTCACCACCCTCACAGGAAAGAACTTTTTCCTTGTATCTAATGATTAATAATAATGAGAGGCAATTTACAAGAGTTTACTACTGCAAATTCAATAAAACTGTAATGATCATAGACCATTCCAGTATTTTATTTAATTTTTTGAGGCTGCTTTAAACCAAGTTTTGTGGCTTTCAAGCGTGATCCAATACAGAGCACAAGAGAGCAAAATAGCCGCTAGTTATTCCTGTAGCAGTTTCATAATCTAGGGCTGAACTGATGCCCTTACGCTTCAGGAAGTCAGTAATCCTGTCTCTGAGTTTGGGATTAAAGTTGTACACTCAGAGGGAAGCACATCTCCTACCACCAGTTGTATCATATCACGTCGGTGACCCTGTTTACTTTGGCAGATCAAAAGTGTCTAATCCAGAAGCTCTCACTTGTCTCAGTTCGGTCTCTAGGGGTTGACAAGAGCAGGTCCATGGCCTTCAGACAGTGACACCTCCTAGCTCAGTGTAGTTGAAATATTAGTTTTATTTGCCCAGAACATTTGACCTTCCCACATTTTCAGGTCCATCTGCCTCAGGGGCAGCATCTTTGCTTGTGAACCAGCTCCTGAATTCCTGCAGTTGACCGTATGGCAGCACCACCACTGTTTGCAGTGATATCTTAGGGCAAACAGAGTCCATCCTTAGCACCACCCCCCTGTTTCCTTCTGGTTTCTTTATTAAATATCATAGCTTAAGCAGCACTTCATTCAGGAGCAAACTGGCAAGTAGCTCAGGGAGGTTCAGCGTGTCTCAGGGAGAGTGACTGACAGCCATAAATTCATCTGGGTGGAACTTGGTCGTCCCTGTTCATTAGGTAAAGTGTTCTTTCCTAATGAAAGCAGTAATGAAATGTGTATCGTGCAGCACTAACCTAACCAACGACCCTCTGATTTTGGAATTATTTGGTCAATGATGAAACCTCAACATTCTTCTCATCCTGGTGTTCCCTCATTTCTGTGGGATGAGAGCAGGCGGCACAGGGAGCACAGGCCTTAATGTACTGACTTTCTCTTATTTTTATGAAGGAGGCTATTTCAATTGCATGTTTATTCCCTGCAGGAAGCACCCAGGAGGGGAGAAGACAATGCTCCAGAAGTGGCAGGTAAGCTAAGACTTGGCTGCATGGGGTTAAACAAAGAATTCCAGCACCTGTCTGTGTGTCTGTGCACAGATACGTGTGTGTGTACGTACGTGCTTCAAGGCCTAAGCTGTTCTCTCGCTGCTGGAGGTGAGTTTGTTGGCAAGAGGAGCTGAGTATTTACAGCTGCTTATTGCAGAGGTTTTGCTTCTCCTGCTGTGAACCATATGGTGCTACTGTCTGGCAGATTAAGTGTGATTTTATGCACATATTTAAACAGAGACCAGGGAGAGCCACCTAGTTTTGAATGACTGTTCACACATCATCTGTACGTCTAAATCAGTGCACCTCTCGTTTTCCCAGATGTTTTGCTGAGCTGAGAGATGCATTTACTTTCCTGTACCCCCAAACTTGGTGACCCGAGGCATATTGAAGAAATCTATACCTTCTTGTTTATTTGTAGCGCTTTCTGCAGCCTTTTTCTGTACAGGCAGTTGTCCAGGATTTTCCAATATGCACATTGCATGCATTTGGCTCACTTTTAAATTGGTGCAAAGTGCCCTGTTATGCAAATACAGCATAAAAGCAATGGGTGACTATGGACAAATGCAAAGGGCCTGGCTGAAGAAGAGCCAGAATGAAGACTGGGATTCTGAATGGATTGTTATATGAGGGATATTGTGCTGACCTGAGCGGCAATGGGTGATTGACTACATTATTTATAATTTTTGTCCTGATGGATGTAGGAACCACAGGGCTCTGAGGGTGCCTCTGGGGTTTCAGGGGTGAAGTCAGGAAATTTTATTGCTTGTTTCTTTTCCCTGACAGAAGAGGGAGATCAGCAACTTTGATTACCTCATGTACCTCAACACGTTGGCCGGCCGTAGCTACAACGATTACATGCAGTATCCTGTCTTCCCCTGGGTCCTCGCTGACTATCACTCCGAGGTCAGTGCTTGCTGCAGGATTCTGTGCTTTCTGTAATAGCAACCATGCGAAGGTTTGTTGTATGATGCCATCGAAGCAGAGGGATCTAGACCAAGGGTTCAAAATTTGAGATCACAGAATCACAGAATTGTCCAGGTTGGAAGGGACCTTTCAGATCATCAAGTCCAACCATCAACCCAACCCCGCCAAAATCCACCACTAACCCATGTCCCTCAGCACCATATCTGCCCAGCTTTTAAATACCTCCAGGGATGGAGACTCCACCACTTCCCAGGGCAGCCTCTTCCAAGACTTGACAACCCCTTCCATGAAGAAATGGCTGATGGTAACCTAATATCTCCTTAGGGAGTGGTGGTGAGTGGTGGTGGTGGGAGTGGAGATGAGCTTCTGTGGCTCCTGGCAAGGAGGTTTGGACAGAAAAGCCTCGAAAGCCATTTGCAACCTGCCAGGCCCTTTATTTGTGAAGCCCTTGTACGTGCTGTCCTTGCAGTGGCACATGCTGCCACTCTCTTTCCAAGTCCCATACCAGTTTTGGAGATGGGTGTTTTAGCACCGACTCTGTGGCCTTCTTGTGTGGGTGAAACTCCCAACACAGCCTTGCTGTGCACATCACTGAGCGTGATGTCTAAGACTCAGGGATCTAAAAATCCTCCTCTTGCTGGTTTTGCTTTTCAGACTCTAAACCTTTCTAATCCCCATACGTTTCGGGACCTGTCAAAGCCCATGGGAGCCCAAACCGTGGAGAGGAAACGGAAGTTCATCCAGCGCTACAGTGAGGTGGAGAAGAGCGAGGGTGAGTGTTTAGGAGAGTAACAGGCAGCAGAGGCTTGAGTCCCCTGGGGAATCCCTTGGAAAAGGTCACCCAAAACCTTTCCAGAGCTGTGGCTAAGGGAACCACCATGCCAAGGAGATCCTCTCACTACTGAACACAAACTGGTTGAGGACTCCAAGAGAAGTGACTCCTGCAAGTGCTGCCTTATGTGCCTTGTACTGCTGCGTTCTGTCCCCTCCCTTGGGCAGGAAGAGATGCTACAGAAAAAAACAGTGTTCCCTAGAAAAGCTGCTCTGTTAGCAAAGATGCAGTCACGAATCTTGTCTTTTAGCTACACTGCATGTAGAAAACTGCTGCATGCTGTGTAGCTATCACCTACTGTAAGAAGAGGAAACAGAACATTGAGGCTGTTGACCTCTGGAGATCAAGACCTTTTATTGGTACTAACCGAGAGGGGATGGTTTGGAAAGTTAAAGGCCTTATTCTTTAGAAAATGAAAAGCAAAAGGCAAAACCAGAACATACAGAGATGGCAGTGACTGTGCACATTCAATGCAAATGTGCAAGGTGTGCTTTTCCTCACAGATCCTTGAAGACATCTGCTTTAAAGACCTGCTGCCTATTTAGTTGTGCTGTGGTAACTGGATGCCATAGTATCCAGCTTGAAATAGTGATATTTTGCACTGAAATCTGCCTTGTGTCCAATTTCCAGGAGACCTCTCAGCCCAGTGCCATTACTGTACTCACTATTCCTCAGCAATTATAGTGGCATCTTACCTGGTCCGAATGGAGCCATTCACCCAGACCTTCTGCTCTCTGCAGGTAAGGGGCAAGAAGATACCTTCCCTCCTACTCCTCATCTCGAGCCATGTAGCACATTAACAGTGGCTGTGCAATGAAGGAGGATTAATTTTGATATTTTCTGTATACTCTGTGTGGGCTCTGGGCTTACCAAAGGGTCTCTGTTGTGTCTGGATTTGGGAGGCACCGAATTTCCTGACAGCCCTCTTCAGCAGGCTGCTGGTGATGCACAAGCACAGACACTTGAGCTGCAGCAGACAGTTGTTACCCTGATTTCTGTAATACGTGTTGTGCTGTAGCTGGGTCTACCAGGAGGACAGGTCCTCAAAAGTGTATTTTTTAAGGAGTGTCTTGCTGAAATCTGCCTGTCCTCGTGGAGGGATGTGAGGGACACAGCCAGGCCAGAATATCCCACACTGGGAGACCATTGCACGTATGCTGAGGGTTAGCCATGCATCCTGCAGCTTTCCAAGTTCTTTGCTGTTGTGCTGCTCTTTTATCCCAGAATATCCCACACTGGGAGACCATTGCATGTATGCTGAGGGTTGGCCATGCATCCTGCAGCTTTCCAAGTCCTTTGCTGTTGTGCTTTTTTCTTTTTTCTTTTTCTTTTTCCTTTTTTTTTTTTTTTTAATGAACCAATACAAAGCAAGCACTGCGCTAATTAAGTAATGAGCCCTATGATATTGGCTGTTACCAGCAGTAGCTGATGGGTTAGTGAACCACCTGAGGCAATGGTTGCCATCGCACCCTGTGAGCCATATGGTAGCTGCAGTCATGAATGGCTGTGGAGCAGTTATTTCTCTCTGTAAACAGCAAAGGCTGCTGTATTTCCCTGGCACACTTTTCATGCATAACAAGTTCCCAGTCTGAGGAGCTGCTTTGTGGCTGTGTTTTATGTGTGAGGAGCAGGTAACCAGCATTTTGGTGGGGATAGTTCTCTTCTAAGGCGGCTGAGCTCTGAAGAGCTCAAAATTTTGTCTGGCTGGGGATCCACTGAAACTGCTGAACTTCTTCCATTCTCATTCCTTTTCTCTTATGTTGTGGCATGTTCAGCTGAGCTCATCGCTGTCGTGTCCCCCAGGTGACTGGTCCCATAGTGGCTTAGCAATTGCTAGATGTGAGACGTAGTCAGGCAAAGAGCAGACTGTATGAACAAGTCAAGAGCAGATTGGAAAAGTATTCCTGGACTCAAGACGTTGGAAGGGTGCTAAGCTGGGAGCTTTGAAAGCTTCTCAGCATCTTAAAAAGTGGAAAAATTATGCAAACTGCCAGTCTCAATGCACGTGACAAGGAGATGCAACAACTTGGATGCACCCCTTGTGAAAAGTTCCTGTTGGCCTACCATCCTGTTTCTCAAGTCAAACAATTGATTTGCACTCGGCCACAGAAGCAGACAGTGAAAAAGCATCACATCTAGTAAGGGAACGGTATAGCAGTTTACAGAACCTTATTATTTCACCTTTTTTTTTTTTAAAGTGTTTTGACTCCAGAGAAAAGTATATGTGCTTTTGTACTGGAATAGGTGAAATACTTGTCATGAGACCAGTGTTGGATGGTATCTTCCACTTCTCCTTAGTCATATATCTCCTAGAATTGCTTTCAGGAATTGGTCCCAACACTACAAAAAAGCAGCAAAAGTTTCTGTGTTGAGTGTCTTCATTGGAAAGGCATTCTAAGACCTCCTGGTCTCAGTAATTAGTGACACTTGCTTTTGATTCAACTCAGATTTTACCCCCTTTAATTCTTATCCCACTGTTGCATCTCAGCTCTCAGGCTGATATTCTTTCCTGGCGTTCACTTCTCAGAGGTACCTACAGAGAATAGGGCTCTTACTCTTCATTGTGTCACTGACTCTTGAGCAGTCATTTAACCACTGTCTGTAATTACAGTAATTACTTCTCAGCATCTCTGGGCGTGTGGGAAGTCTTTGTACCTTTGTGAGCATCTCATAGAAACACTTTGAGGTCTTCGGGTTTAAGGCGCCGCCAAAGATCAGTGATGCTTAATTTTATAAACATGGGAAGCTCTAACTTCTCTCTAGAGATCACTTTGACTAGTTGCTTTGCATATACCCTGCTGAACTGTAGCTCTAAAAAAGCTTGGTTTTCCAGTATTCCTGCTGGCAGAGTAAGGCCTCTACTGAGGGGAAAGAAACCAAAGACTCACTGTATCCAGCTGTAGAAAAGCCATAAGAGTTTGTCAACTCTAAAGGCATAAAGCAATTCTTCGTTCTCTTTTTCCCTTTCAGTGCAGTTTTTTGCCTTCATAGAGAGAGAAAACTCATTAATTCTGATATAAATATATGCAAATAAATTTATTAATATAGGAAATGGGAAAATCAGTTATTGCTTCCTTTATAAATAATACAGGCTTAAGTTTTAAAGATATTACTTTTCCCTAAAATGAATTAGACAGCCAGGGAAAAAATCACATTTTTTCGTGGTGGTAATATCTTTAACCAGATTTGTCGCGCTAACAGCATTTCCTATGTATATATTATTTTTATTTAATACAGGTAATCTTTTTATTACAAATCATATTGTTTCTCAGGAGATTACCATCAGCTCTCATAAAAGCTGCAAAAAAGATGAAAAAGCATCAATCACCACCAGACACAGCGCGCTGTGTGCAGATTAAATATACAAAGCCCTTTAATATGCTTCAATGAGATACTTGTTAGCTGTTGATTTATTTATAGTCCTCCTTCTACTCTGTTTTAATTTCAATTTGAATTTGACTCCGAGGGTCCCTGCCTAATAATGATCAAGAACAAGATGACCTTGTGCATCAGATTAACTCCAGCTTGGCTCACTCATGTGATTAGCCACTTTTTCACTCAGTCCCTCGAGTGGGTGTGGGAAAGGCTTCGCAATTGTCAGTGGTGTAAGGAAAAAGGACATAAAATTCAAGGAAGTAAAACAGAACTACGCTGGACCAAAAGCCTGGTCAGAATTCACCGGTGCCAGGGTCTTTCCATCTGGGATATGTGTTGGGTTTTAGTGGGAGTCTATTCCAAAAGACAAGCAAGGAAATGTGGCTTCAGAACTCAGGGTTATCCACGAGGGTAGTTTCTCCCAAACAAAAGATGTGGCAAAAGTTATTTCTTGACTTGCAGTTCCCAGACTTGGCAGGGTTTGTAGATCCAAAGGGGTTGCATTACAGATGTGTGATGGGGCAGGGGGTGCTTAACATCAGAAACCAATGTGGGAACTCACCTTCAGGGTCCACCTGGTCCGTGGGAGTGGGATCCCATCTTTACAGCATGAAGATGCTTAGATGTTATTTTCCTTTTTCAATAGATTGCAGCTCAGAGCTTCAGCTGTCACTGTGCAGAAGGGCAGCATCCTCCTCCTCTGGCACATGCAACACTCTGCAGGCAGAGAGAAAACTAACCCAAAGCTATCAAGTTTTCCCAAGTGGTCAGTCACAGACAGAACCTGACTGTACCTCATATTCATTAGCATGTTAATTAACTCTTTCACCACCTCTGGGTTTTACTGCCTTCATCCTGCAGTCCCGCTGGCTTGTTCTTTTTGCCTCATGAAACAGCTTTGATGACTGAAGGGTTGAGGTTGAGCAATTGTTTATATGTTTTCACTGTACTGCAGAACTATTTACAGATACTTGATCTATCTCTGACAATGTCTCTTGAGCCCTGGCAGTGGGATGGAGCATTACGTCCCATGACATGTAATCCAAATTAATTAACCCCACTGAGAAATACCTCTATTAATCTGGGAGCGTGCTGCAGCTGGGCAGTCATTCTGCTGCCAGTACCTGAGCCAGGTATTGAGAAACAATTTGGTTCTGTCACTTTATACAGTTAAAAAAGTCAGCTGTGTTCTGAAACAGCTTATTTGTTCTGACAAGCTCATTCAGATGCTCTCCAAAAACACATTGTCTGTTTGGTTATTTCCATTATTGTAGGAACTTTGCTACAATGAATCCTTTCATACTCGATGTAGGGATCCCTATGTAAAGGTGAATGTGGATTTTCACAAATGCATACAGTATCTGAAACCCCATTAGAAATTCCTGGAGGAAACAGAGTTTCAATGTAAGGTCTGTGCTCTTCGTTCGCTGAGTGATTTTATTTTATTTTATTTCCCTTTTCTTTCTATTTGAGGCCTTAGTTCAGAATTCTGTCCTGGGCTAATAAGGCTGTTTTCATCTAGTGTTTGACTCTCATTAAAGCAAACATATGCAAAGGCTCTAAGGATGTGAGGGAGGTTGTTTCTCCTTCCATACTCACCATTTCAGCTCAGACCCAGACACTCTTCCTCTCTTCCCCTCTCTATGCTCACACTGCAGTCTTTTTTGTCTGTCTCCCTTTCACAGGGTGGGAGTTTTGATGTTGCAGACAGGATGTTCCACAGCGTCAAGAGCACGTGGGAATCGGCCTCAAGGGACAACATGAGTGACGTCAGGGAACTCATCCCTGAATTCTTCTACTTGCCCGAATTCCTAACCAATGCCAATCACTTCGAACTGGGTAAGGTCTAGATGGGGTTTCAGAGCTCCCCTTCTGCTCCCCAGCATCCTGCCAAGGGAAAAGGTCCAGATCACATCTTGAGAGTTGGTCCCTGGACTATGTGGACTGATGAGGCTCTCTAGCAATGAGAGATCAATTTTTATTAAAATCAGGCTACAAGAATACAAACTTACGATATTGGATGATATCAGAAGAACCATGTTTCTAGCTTGGAAGGGATTGTAGTTCTTGTTAGCTACTGTGCAAGGGAATTACACATTTTGTCAGACAAAGATGGATTTTGGTATAGGCAATTGAGTTGGCTGCTTTTGAAAGTTTGGTCTGTATCATCCTGGGTATGTGGCCATGAAAAATATATTCATTTGACTTCTGGAGACAGATCAGTTGTTAAATGGTGGTGGTGAAAGGCGGTGCTGTTTTGTTTTTTTTTTTAAATCTCATGTCTCTGGTGATTAAGTTGCCAAATGTCCTCACTATCACCTGCACAAATCACATGAACTTGATATATTGTCCCTGGCCTCAGGCAGCATCACAGTCTCTTCTGAATATAACTGTCTTTAGACCTTTTTGCACCAGTGACAGAGGCTCAGAGAGAATGCAGAAAGAATAATATTCAGAAATAGGCACAGCAGTCCTCATTCACTTCACTTCACAGGAAATTCACATTATTCACAAGACAAAGCTGCTTTTTGGAGTGGACACGGGTTGGTTAATAATTAAGGCAGAGGAGAAATACCTTAAGAATCATCCTGAACTGGTGACAGCAAAGACAATCTAACTCATGGTGTTGAGGTCTAGTTATAATGGTATCTAAGGTCTCAGTGAAATGGGAATTGTCCCTGGCCTCAGGCAGCATCACAGTCCCTTCTGAATATAATGCTGTCTTTAGACCTTTTTGCACCAGTGACGGAGGCCCAGAGAGAATGCAGAAAGAATAATATTCAGAAATAGGCACAGCAGTCCTGATTCACTTCACTTCACAGGAAATTCACATTATTCACAAGACAAAGCTGCTTTTTGGAGTGGACACGGGTTGGTTAATAATTAAGGCAGAGGAGAAATACCTTAAGAATCATCCTGAACTGGTGACAGCAAAGACAATCTAACTCATGGTGTTGAGGTCTAGTTATAATGGTATCTAAGGTCTCAGTGAAATGGGACATGTTAAGAAAAGGGGAGAATGGGAAAAGATGTTAGAAGACTGTTAAAAGATAAGAACGAATTGGGGTAGTTTAACCTTGAGAGGAAGCCAAGAAACAAAGCCTGGCTGGAATCAAGATCCAGAGTCTGACCTGAGTGGAATCAAGTGGAGGGACTTTAAAAAGACACCAGAATCCTGCTGATAGAGAGCAAATATAGAGGAAGATTTTACAATAGGCAAAGCCAAGAGCCTGGATCTGTTCACTGTAAGGAAACCTGCAGTCCCAGACCTGAGCCTTAACTTGGAGATGAATTAATCCAGTTGTGCAACACTGTGCTCTGATTTAAGACCCTTCTGAAAGGAATCAGGTTGCAAAGGAGAACAAACCCCCTCCCAGTGGCTAATTTAGTAGAAATATCTGGGAGTTAGGCCCATGGGATTAAGTATAAAAAGAAAGTTGTGCCGGCAGCTTTGTCTTGTCTGAGTTTGCAGTCTGTGCTAAAATGGTTTGTGCTGAGGACATGAATATTTTTACTGTGGTAGCGACAGTTACTGGAACGTCATCTTCTCCGTGTTTTATTACTAGATCAGAAATCCCAGGAGAAACTGGTTCTGCAGTGTCCTGTGGCACTCTATTTGATGTAGAACCTGAAACTGCATGTGTGGAAATCACCTCAATTTCCTTTGATTTCGGTGTTTTGGAAAAGTTGACCCTATTTGCAACGTGTGTGATTCTTGTTTCCATTTCTCCCTGTGTACTCCCCCAGGCTGCATGCAGGACGGGACGGTGCTGGGAGACGTGCAGCTTCCTCCTTGGGCAGACGGGGACCCCCATAAATTCATTCTCCTGCACAGACAGGTCAGTGAATATCAACATTTGTGACAAAACGCTGAAATGGGTCCCACTGAAAATGGAGCTCTGAAGGTTAGAGTCACAAAACAAAAACGTTAGATCCAAACGCATCCCGCCTTTGCGGAGTTGGTGCTGGGTTCTGAACTTTCCATTTCTAGTTGTCTGCCTAAAAATTCACCCTGAATCAAGGCCAGTTTTCCAAACCAGGTGAGGTTTGTATCTGGGGCTGTGGCCGTGGGCCTATCTCAGCCCATGAGTGTATGTGAACATAACATAATTCATGCACATGGCATTTATACTGTACACTTCCCTGTTGTTGCCAGCCAGCCACGAATATGTTTAAATCACCTACCTCCATCTCTGAGTCATGCCAGGACTGCAATTATTTTTTTATTTTGGGGGTGGGGGGAAAACCTAATGCGATTTCCTGCTTTTAATGCAGTCAGCCTTGTTGGCAATTCAAAAGCAAATAGCTTTAAGGTCCCGAGACTTACTGCAATTAGTGCTATCTATTAATAGGTAGGAAGTCTTACTTCTGGCTGATGTCACCTGCTACATCGTGGTGAGTGCGAAGGCAATTCTGCGTGATGGTAGTTGCATTGAACTGAGAATTTGGAGCAGAATATCTTGGTGCAGGTCTCTCTTTTTCTTAGAGGTAAAAAGGGAATGGGCTGTACTTAGTGCCCCTGCATTATCTCATCAGGTTTCCTCCAGCAAAAGGAATTAATCTGTGTGTGTGAGTGTGTGCAGATTGTTGCTGCGTACAAGAAATGTGATGATTGTATGTGTTAGCATTAGTGGGACTAAAATAGCCCATGATTTTTCAGGGCTTTTCATCATCCTGGTTCGTCATGTGCAGCTTCAGTTTCTGTCTCAGTGGGTTCTTCTCACCTCTCCTGTGCTGGGCAGGCTCAGCTTTCATTCTCCATAATCTCTTTGTAGGTGATTGCATCCAAACCTGTGGTCACAGCTGTCTTCTCTATTTTGCTAAGTCCGAATAAACTTTTCCTCAGTTGAACTCTCCAAATGCTGATTCCTAAATCCTGTCTCTGACCTCCTCACTGATTGACGTAACTTTTTATTCCTGCTTTGAACGAAACCAGAATCATGCTCTTGTCTTGTAAATACTCTTTTCTCCACTGTTCACTTAACCATTGAGAGCCACCACAGTGCTCCAATTAAGTTACTATGACACGTCCTTTGCTTTGCACTTCTGTGCTGCATTCAGAGTCCTTACTTTTTATGATTATCCATATTATTGAAGCATTTACACATATTGAGCTGTGCTCCTTACTGCTTGCGTAACGGTGAGCACTCTGAAGACACTTGGATATGATGGATATGATTATCCATATTATTGAAGCATTTACATGTTTTTCTTGGACATTCTCTTGAATCTTCATCTCATTCTTTCTGATGTCCAGGTACCTTGCTCCAAGTCAGTGCAGAGACAACTAGAAGGGGTTGGTTTGTAGCATAAAGTATTGAGCTGTGCTCCTTACTGCTTGTGTAATGGTGAGCAATCTGAAGACACTTGGATATGATGAGGAACATCTCCTTTTGCCTTGTCCTTTGGAGCAAGTCTGCAGTTTGGAAATGAATCTATCAGCCCTCCTGGCATAGCAGGGGTTTGCTGTCAGTGCAGAATGATCTCAGATTTTGTGAACTAGATCTGGTTTGGATGAAACAAAACTAGAAGCTGCACTTGGGTTGTGGACTCCAGAGGCCTGTGGCATTCAGCCTGTGGGAGCAGACTGGATCTAGTTTGGAGTAGAGCCCCCACAGTGCACGTAATGTGGATACTGGGCCCTCTCTGCCATCTGTTCTCTTCCACAGATCTGCTTCCACTCAGCTGCACTGTTTGATAACATTGGCACAGCCCAGAAACCCACACAACTTTTACAAATCCATTCAAATCTCAAATAGGAGCAGTTCAGCAAGTGAAAGAGCATGTTTATAGATTTGTGTTCTTAATGATTTGCCAGACCTGATCAGACCTCACATACAGTCAGTCCAATATTCTCTCTCCAGCCATAGCTAGTACTGGATGTTACACAGGAGAGCGCAAGAAGTCTTGCTGTGGAAAGAAAGTTGATTAACCTGCCTGAGAAAGTTCCCTAACCCTGAAGTGAAGACCTTGAATTCTGAAATGTGAGGGTTTCTGTTTTCTCTGAAATCATCCACAAGACTGAATGTGCTTGTTATTGGTGTCATGGTCATTTTTCGGGGGCTTCACAGTGAGTTTGGTGCGTTAAACAGAACCAGGTTGACACTGTTCTGAGGTTTGGCTATTGCTTTAATGAATAGGAGAGCAAAGAATTGTTCTTGACATAGAACTCAGGAGAGCAGCTCCCTGCCTCATGTTTAATAAGTTAGGAATCTAGTCTGCTAAAGAAATTTATTTACTTCCTCCTTAAACCACAAGGTCTCCCTCCCTGGCTGGGCTTGTCGTAGTGCTCAGGGAAATGCTGAGAGGCTGCATGGCTGCAGCTCTGCTGTTTGCTTTGTTTCGCTCTGGCAGTGATGCCAGGCAAAATTTACTGCTTTTATTAATGAGGATGAGTTCTGAGTCTATTCAAAGTGTTTTCCTGTTGTTTGCTGGGGACAGATTGCGTGGAGCTCTTGTTCTCTGAGCTGCCCTGTGATCGTTATAGCTGTGGGCAGGGTCATTTCAACCAGCTGCACTGGGCTAAGTGGCTGCTCTGTGAAATGAGCCATTCTTCGGGATCCCATTAGCTTGTTTATCTGGGCTGTGCTCCGGGTGGGATGCTCTGCTTGGGAGACCTTTAACTGGGCATCAGGGAGTATTGCACCGGCAAATGATTTGGAGATAGGAAAGACATTGAGGTGCTGGAGCGGGTCCAGAGAAGGGCGACAAAGATGGTGAGGGGTCTGGAGAATAAGTCTTATGAGGAGAGGCTGAGGGAGCTGGGGTTATTCAGCCTGGAGAAGAGGAGGCTGAGGGGAGACCTTATTGCTCTCTACAACTCCCTGAAAGGAGGGTGTAGAGAGATGGGGGTCGGTCTCTTTTCTCAAGTCACAGGCGACAGGATGAGAGGAAATGGCCTCAAGTTGCGCCGGGGGAGGTTCAGGCTGGATATTAGGAAAAATTTTTTCACTGAAAGGGTTCTCAGCCATTGGAATGGGCTGCCCAGGGAGGTGGTTGAGGCCCCATCCCTGGAGGTGTGCAAAAGACGGGTTGATGTAGTGCTGGGAGGTCTGGTTTAGTGATGATGCTCCTTGTTTGTTGTTTGGGTGTCTATTTTTGTCAGTTAGGTTGACGGTTGGACAAGATGATCTTTAAGGTCCCTTCCAACCTAGAAGATTCTGTGATTCTGTATTTTTAATAATGCTTATCACTGCTGCTTGAATCGCTGGGTAAGGCCATTTGGGAATGCACAGAAATTTGGTGAGGCAGGTGATGGCAGGGGCAGTAGTATTAATGAAGCCTTAAGGGCAAGGCTGGCTAAGCTGGAGATAGGCAAAGGTTCAACCCAAACTTGTGGCCACTCTTTATGAACTTGCTGTCTGGGTCTTCAAAACACAAGTTTTCTGCTACGATTGCATTGAGCTTTCTAGGGAGCCTGTGTTGGGGGGGACATATTGCCTTGTAGCATCTCTTCCAGTCTTCTCCAGTAGTAATTGTTTCTTTTGGTCCCATTAATCCACACAACGGTCGCTGTGGGCGGCAAATCTAATCAAAGTTAACCATTTCTTATTTGGGGGTGGGAAAAGTTCAGACCCCAAGTTTTTCCAGCATGAGGAAATCTGGTGCTGGGACTGCCCCTGGTTAAGCCCTGTGACGGTGGCAAAATGTTTATTGATCAGACTCAAGCAGTCTTGAAGCTTCTGTCATCCAGCTTCCCCGCTGCACCCCAACCCTGCTATTGCATGACCCCTTCCCTCTCTTGGCCTGAGAAGACATTTCTCTACAAGCTCTATATTGTCTTTGCTGGTTCATGGCGTGCAGCCTCTCCTGATGGATCCTTCAGACCCAATTTAAAGCCAGGCATCTCCCTTTCCAGTCTATGTTTATGTATTTTTTCATGTTCATAAGTGAGGCGTATTTTACAAACAAAACCATCTTGTGTCAGTAACAGTGTTGGTGAACACATGATAGCACAGACAGTTGTGCTGGAAACTGGAGGATCTGTGAAGGGCTTACACTTTGCTTAGTGGAACCTGGTTGTGTTGCCTTTCCTTTAAGGACATTCCTCCTAAATCGAGCACTTTGCCCTTTCTCTTCCTGGGGGGATCCACCCTTCATCTCTGGTCATATTTTGTTCCTTACTGGAGGAACTGAAAGTGTGACCATTCACTTGCAGACAACTGAAGTTTCCAGTAGGGATTGGAGAGTGGTAATGGATTTGTAATATGGATACACTCTACGAAAATTATTTTCTTTTGGTTTCAGGCACTGGAGAGTGACTATGTCAGTGCACACCTCCATCACTGGATAGATCTGATTTTTGGCCACAAGCAACACGGCTCAGCTGCGGTGGAGGCAGTTAACACCTATCACCCTTACTTTTACGGAGACAAGATGGACCTCAATAACATTAAAGATCCTCTTATTAAGAGCACCATCCTGGGTTTTATCAGCAACTTTGGGCAGATACCAAAGCAGGTACCAGTTGATCATGAAAAGGGAGAGTATAATTTATTTTGATCTTGTATTTCAACTGGAAAGCAGGAATAGAAACTCAAATCAGAGTAATTTTCTGGTGTAAATCTGCTGAAACATGGGGTCACCACTAGTCTGGGAGTGAGTACAGTCAAATCAAGGCAGCTCAAAGTCTCATCTGTACTTTTCTCTCTTCTCCTGAACCACTGGGATTAGCTTCCTATACCTGTGAGGAAGGAATGTAGTCTGACAAGAATGTAATAAGAGTAAGATGTTATTTTAATGAAGACATTCATGTAGGACAGTGCTAGAGTCTATGATTAAGGACTTGAACAGATGTCTCTCCTGCCTGATCTGGCAAAGAGAGATTAATATTTCAATGCCATTTCTTTGTTCTAGCTCTTCACGAAACCGCATCCATCCAGGAATGCCCAAGGGAAAAGCTCATCAGGAAGAGATACTGTGTTGTCCCTTCACTCAAGTGGAATTCTTCCTCCTTTTCTGAGTAGCCTGCAAAATTTGAAGCTCTCACCAGTTACAATAAAAGGTGCTGCAGGGGCTGTGTGCCATTTTCTGAGCCAATAAGTGCACAATTCTTGGATGGGGTGAATCTGGATTTTCAAGAGCACAAAAATAGTGCTTTGTATGAGTTGGTACATTCAAGATGCCTTCTGCCAATGGTTACTTGTTTGTGTGTGTTGTGTGTGGTCATTGAAAACACTCAAATACTCAGGAGAAATCTTTACATTTCTGTTGTAGTGTTCAAAACAGATTTATTTTTTTAAGACACATCTTTTCTCTCTTCTACGTGCTGAATATGTTGAATTGAAATATAAAGCTCACTGCAAGGTGGAAAGTTAACAGAAGTGCTCTAAAGCAAACAGAATTAAATGTGCCCTCTGTCTTGTCAGACTATCCCAAGGGAGCTGTTGGGCACATTGTTCATACTGAGAAAGGCATTCTGGCTGTTGAAAAGAATAAAGTTTTGATTCCTCCTCTTTGGAACAAAACATTCTGCTGGGGATTTGACGACTTCACCTGCTGCTTTGGCAACTATGGGTCTGAGAAGGTAAATAAGAAAAAAAGATAAGAATTCCAGAAATTAATTATATGTGTGGTCTTTGATTGGCTCAGGCACCCATTTCAGAGGCTGTTGGGGAGTTGATTTCAGAGGATACTGTACAGGACTTTAAGTGCTCTAAAGCAAACAGAATTAAATGTGTTCTCTGTCTCATCAGACTATCCCAAGGGAGCTGTTGGGCACATTGTTCATACTGAGAAAGGCATTCTGGCTGTTGAAAAGAATAAAGTTTTGATTCCTCCTCTTTGGAACAAAACATTCTGCTGGGGATTTGACGACTTCACCTGCTGCTTTGGCAACTATGGGTCTGAGAAGGTAAATAAGAAAAAAAGATAAGAATTCCAGAAATTAATTATATGTGTGGTCTTTGATTGGCTCAGGCACCCATTTCAGAGGCTGTTGGGGAGTTGATTTCAGAGGATACTGTACAGGACTTTCTCACAGTCAAGCTTCTAGAGGAAATCTCAAGTTGGATATACCATCATTCTCACAGTCAAGCTTCTAGAGGAAATCTCGAGTTGGATATCCCATCAGAGTACGAAGTCATTCTACACTGCTAAAAAACATGGCATTTCCACTCTAAATTATCTCCGGTGACTGTGTTGTCCATCAAAATGAAGGAGAAACCTCATTTCAGAGGGTGAAAGGACAATACAAGGTCTCCTGGCCTCTGATTAGGAATTTCATTGTGCAGAACTTTCTGCTGGAATTCTGATAGGACCATCTGTCAATTCCCCTCTGGCTCCCAAGCTTAGCCTAGTGCATTCAGTCAAAGTAATAATGTCTTCTATTCTAGAAAGTTAATACTTCTTTCCTGTTAAAAATCCAACACAATGTCTTCTATTCTAGAAAGTTAATACTTCTGTTAAAAATCCAACAGTCTGTGTCATCACACTGCTTGTTAGGGTGCTTGACAGGTTCAGTTTCTTCCTCTACCACAAACACACTGATTTTTGGATGTGTTTGGAATAATGTTATGGCACAGAGAGACATCTGAGTTGATTTGGGTACCAGAATAGCAGAATATGCCATTCAGCGCGATGCTGGCTTGGGTATCTGTGAAGCCACATCATTATGTTTTTACAGACATCCCCACAGTCATTAGAAGCAAAAAAAAAGCCTTGAGATGTATTGGTTTGGTATCACCAGATGAGCATTTGACCAAAAGCTGCTTCCTTGTACAGAACATGACGACGTTTGAGAGCATGGCAGACTGGGGGAAGTGCCTCTGTGCCGTGTGTCCTTCAGCAACTACCGTGATCACATCTGGAACAAGCTCAGTTGTGTGTGTCTGGGAACTTTCCTTGGTCAAGGACAAAGTGAAAAGTCTCAACTTGAGGCAGGTAAGTACTGTGCCTCTTCTGCTATAGAAACATAACAAAACCCAAAGGATTAGGTTCTTTCTCTCAGATGACTGGCAGAGGAAACACTTTTGCATGAATTAAGAATGCAGAAAAAGCCAATAATCACAGGCATCTTGTGACAGCTCATTAGAAGATCAGGAGCTGATAATATGCCTTATACCCACAGCTTATAGGTATGTATTCTGCTTGTTGGGTTCTTCCCTTTGGAGCAATTCATGGTCAAAGAAGCAGTGAAGGTAGGGCATACACTGTCCTCACTTGAAGTGCAGCCAACCCTTGGATTGTTTTCAAACTCTATATTACCTGAAGGTGGTTATAATTATTTTTGGGCTGCTAGAGCAATGGACAGGAACTCCAAAACACCCTGTGAACTCAGCTGATGGAGTTACCTTAGGCTCAGGTAGGCAAAGTTTTTGATTCTTTTCTCTCAGCCAGAATTCAGAATTTAAAAGGTTTATGTTACTCCATGAGGAGATTACACCTCTGTCATATCTGAAAGGCAGCGTGTGACTCCCTCTTCCCTAAGAAATTAAGAGACAGAAAGCATTCTGCTACTTTGAGGCAAACTAATAAAGGGGCTGTTGATTCAGCAAGAAGGTCTCCAAGTGTTAGATGCTTCTTCTGTTTGTTTACTCTGAAGGGATATTCAGATGATATTTCAGTGCTTTCTATACCCTGAGCCAGAACATATTCTATTTATCTTTAAATGATGTGAAAACTTCCGTGTCTGTTGGGATGACAACACTGAAGTATTTAGATTTCCATTTATCTGAAATATTTCTGTGTTGAAATTAGGGGAAAATTGTGCTTGAGCAGTCTCTCTTTTGAGGTTTATAGTGTTTCCTGCTTGAGAAGAAGCCAGAAATATGAGACAAGATCTCCACTGATGACCTTTTATTCCTGCTGCTAATTATTCCAAACCAGGATGTGGATATAGAAATGGAAGAAATAGCAGGAGAGGAAAGCATAAGCAGTAATCTTCAGGAACATCAAAATAATACAAGTCAGAGGTTCAGTTTGAGTTTCAGACAACTGTTTGATGCTCTCTTATCTCCAATATAATGCCTTTGTCTTCAACAGTCTAAAATTAGCTTTGCTGATGTGTTCCACTGTGATTAATCTGGTATTACCCAAAGTCCACAAAGTGGCATGAGGTCATGTAATGACAAATACTGTGCTTTTTCCCCCTCTCTTTGCTAGCAGAGGCTTTTTTTTTTTTTTGATTGTCTGGCATAGATGTAAATTTGAACTATGATCCTAAATGTCTTCCAGTGAATTAGTTGCTGCTTTCATGTAATTCAGTGTTTCACAGTGGCTGCTTTTTCTGCTGAACACAAAAATTGTATCATCTTTCCTGAGAGAGTGAGCTTTGCTTAAGTAAAGCTGATGTGCTATAAAGTGGATGCTATTCACTTACCAGCTGTCTCGGGGGACTGACACATTCTGGTTTGGAATGTAGTAAAGTACAGAAACTATATTTCAGCAGAAAAAAGTCATTTTTCCCTCTCTAGCAGGGGCTGCTTCCACTGTTTTGAGGAACACTAAAGATCGAGCATAATAGCCTCAGTATTGATCCATATGATTTACCAGTTCCTTCCGTGTTTGTGAGCAGAGCAATCCCTGTTATCCAGCCCCCAGAATTTCTGGGCTAAATGAAACACTAGAGTAGGAGAAGCTTCTGGACCATCCACGCTGTGTCTGCCACGCAGCCCTCACTGGGAGGGGACGTGCCTGTGTCCGTGTGGGGCCCTCAAGTTGGATGGTCAAGCTTGGTTTAAGTTTTCATGCACTCATCATTCCTGCGGTGAAGCTGGTCCTCTTTTGCTATTACCCTAGAGAGAGACCTCCCAGTTCTTTCTGCAGATGTGCTGCAGGAGATCTCCCAAAGACCTATCAGTCTTTGCAGAGCAATTACAAGAAGATGGCAGGGATGCAACTGGTTTTGCATGAATGTGCTTTGAGACACTGGTGGGTTGAAGCTGAGATTACAACCGGGCTCAGGTCTAGCCCTTTCTTCCACACTCAGCTTTTACTTAAAGCAATTCACTGCCAGGTTGGATCTTTCTGGCTTACAAAAAAAAAAAAAAAAAAAAAGTTAAGTTGGAACATTTTCTCAATATCTTTTGAGTTAAAATGTGTACACTGATTTTCAGAAGCAGAGAAGTGGTACCTGGTTTCCTGCTGAAGTCCACCGCTTGCAGGGGTAGAGTGAGGACAGCCCTGGGCTGGAGGCTGTGAAGCGGGGCTGACCCATGCCCGGGGCAGAGAGCTTGCTGTGAGATCCGCAGGCACAGTCCATGAGTTAAAAAGCAGGGATGTGAGAGGTGACTGCCTCTGATTTGCTCAAATAGGATTAAAAAAAAAAAAAAAAAAAAGAAGAAAAAAGGTTATATTAAAACCTGTGCAGGAGCTTAGCTTGGGTAGACTTGGCAGCTTGGATGCTGTCAATGTAGGTGTGTTTTCTTTCATGCTTTGGAGGAAGGAGAGTAAATTTGTAGCCCTTGAACTTGCCATGTCCCAGCACTTTTTGAAGAGGTTTTGTGCAGTTCTCGAGTGCAGGCGCTGGGTTATGCCCCATCCTTTGTGAAGAGGCTGCTCTACAGCCAGTCAAAGCTATTGTTGAGCCTCCTTTTCTCGGCTTGGTTGAGAGTGTTTCTGACCTCTGAAAACCAGTGTTGTACCCCCATTTTGTACCATTATTTTTAGTTGACCAGTTCTTGTGAACAGAATGAATCACAAGCTGAGATTCATCCCTGGCAGTTGCGGGTCGCCTTCAGTAGTAGTATCCTGCTGCAGCTCGACTTCTTCACCACTGGGTTAATGTTTGAAGATGTGCTAATTATGGCATGTTGAGAAAGCCATCAGGGAATATGCATTTTACTGTTAAAACCAACATTAAAACTGGTGGATCTGATTTTTTTCACAATAAGGCAGCTAAAAATTGAGCCCTGGAAGGCTTTTTAGGAAAGCTGTGAAGGACTTTTTCTGTGTTGCCCAACAGGATTTGCTGTCATTGGTGGTTTTGCAGCAGAAATATATACTGCTATCGCTTGAGACTGCTGCTTTAAACATTTGTTATTAATATATACTTCAATCCATGACTTCTATCTGTGCTATTAAATTGCTTAAAGTATAGTCTTTTTTTTAATGAAATTATTTATATAAGGCTAAATTAGACTGGGCACTCCTTGTGTCTCCGGAACCTATAAAACAACACCAAAAAAAGAATGTTGAGTAATGAGGAAAAAGAAAGGAATTCCTATATGGCTTTAAAGCAATAATTCTCCCCAAATACTGTTTTTCTTCTTAAATAAAATTGGAAAAATATTAGTACTTGTTCAGAAAAAAACAGTAAGATAAGACTGAGAAGGTCACTCAAATACCTCCTGGTAAGTTTTATTTCAAAATGGTTTTTAAATATTGAGAAATAGTAATTTCTAAGCATAATTTTTACTTAAAACTGCATGGACTGAAGTTAAAAATGATGTTTTGTTGAGCACGAAGCACTGTTGTAAAATGTGAAATGTATGCCCAGGGCCCTGAGTTCCTGTGGGACTTGGGGCAAGTCCCAAGCCTCAACGTTCCTTGACCATGAGTTAAGGACAAGGATGCTTCTGTAAGATCCTTTGGTGTTCCCCCCTCATCCCCTTCTCAGTTCTCCAAAGAATGACAAAATTGCTTGTTCTTACGAAGCAGATGAGAGCAGGACAGTGGTTCCCCAGTAAATCAGCCACGCTCTGCTGGGGTTTATTGGATGGTTTTGGTTTTTTTTCCCCCACCAGGCTCTGTATGGGCACACGCAGGCAGTGACCTGCCTTGCTGCCTCCGTGACCTACGGCATCTTTGTGAGTGGATCCGATGACAGAACCTGCATCATTTGGGACCTGAACCAGCTGACGTACATAAACCAGCTTCCTGCCCACGGGGAAAGCCTCTCTTCTCTGGCCATCAACAATTCGACAGTAAGATCTTCATTTATCATCTTCCCTCTGATGCATCCATGAACATTTCATGATAATTTAATGGGTGCTCTTCCCAACATAAAAACATCCTGAGAGTCTGATACATTGATTTTTTTACTTTCTACAGAGATTGCTAATAGTGTTCTTAATGATGAGAGGTGAGCACTAACAGCAGCATCTTAGGCTGAGTGGCTAAGTAGAGGCATCTTTGGATGGGTAGAGAATGGGATTAAACAACTTTTAGTTTACGAAGCATGAAGTATTACTCTGGTATCTCCTGGATTTGGCTCACCCATAACCTTATTGCCTCCATTAGTTCATTAATTTCTCCTGACATTCATGCATGAATGTCAGCTGAGGCACGTTAGCCCTCAGTTTTCTGTCTCAGCTGACAACTATCTTACACCTTTGCGGTGATGGTGGCTTTTTGCTTTCCCTTCTACTCTCAGCTGCTCTTGACAGCAGTGGGTAAAAGTCTTCTGTGGTCTGTGCCTGGCCAGAATTGCATTCGTGTTTATAGGAAAATATTCTCTATTGGATTTTACTGTAAACACTCCGGATGAGATTATTTTTCTGACCTTCTACCTCCCCAAAATGTTGCTTGCCCATTTTTATTTTCTCTCTCTGTTAATATACTAGAGCAGGGTTCCACCTGCTCAGACAATTTGAGGTTGGATCCAGTGCTGGAGCTTGCACCTTGAGAGGCAAAATAGAGTTCACAGCAGTAAGAAACTGGGCAGACATTCTCTACTTCTAGTCTGTGCCAAAAGAGTCATCTCATACCAGAGCTTTATGAACTGTGCAGTCCAATGGTTAGTAATCAAGGGTGAGAATTAAGTCATCTGTTCAATGCCAGCTCAGCTTCCCGCCCCAGTTGGTGTAAAATGGCCAGTGCCACACGTTCAGAAATGACTGGGTAGACTGGGATGTCCCAAGAGGATGGAGTCCTCTCCTTTATATGTACCATCAGTGACAGTAGCTTTTTAGTCGGTAGCTCCTCTTCTGGAGATGCCCAAAACCGAGATGGTCCATGCCAGGAACAGGCCAGTGATTGATCCAAGAGCAGTTCTCCAGCTTGTTGGAGTGCAAATGGTTAAACTGATTGGACAATAGGCTGCAGAAAGGTTCACTTAAGAGAAAATCCCTTAGGAAAGTATGACCGAAACTTCAAAGAAGAAAAGATTAAGTGGTCCTTATGTTGTGGATGAAAAAATCCTTTTTGACATTAGCAGAACAGGATGTTTAGTCCTGAAATGGGCTTTTGTTAAAATTTTATCAATATATTTATATATTGTAACATGAAGATAGAAACAAAATGTTGCCATTGTGCTAAATTAAATATTTTAATTTCTTTTTGACATTAGCAGAACAGGATGTTTAGTCCTGAAATGGGCTTTTGTTAAAATTTTATCAATATATTTATATATTGTAACATGAAGATAGCACAATGGCAACATTTTGTTTCTAAATTAAATATTTTAATTGACACAAAATTCCATGTTTAGTAACAAGGTATTTTTCCTGAAAAATTCAGAATGTTTTGAAGGAAACAAATTTCTGAGCCACATACTTTTCTGTGAAATAAGAACCCTACACAGCTCTGTGTTATGTGCTTGTTGGGTTTTGTATCAAATATTTTATATGCTTGAGCACCTAGAAGCTCCATTTATAGATCCAAACCTCGTGGTGTGTGTATCACGTAGACACAGAATAAAAAGCCTGTCCCAAAAAGTTTATAAGCTGAGGAGGACTGTAAAACCTTGCTGCAACTAATGATTTCAGTTAGTTTTGAATCCCTGGCCTAGACTTGAAAAACACTGTAGTGCGTTATGAAATACCTGGACGTTTATGTCCTCTCATACGGATGAGGCAGCTGAAATTTAATCTCTTTAATTATTGGCAACTCTGGGGTGCGCTGGCCTTGTTTTATCTTCAGTTTGAAGAGCTCTGGCCCCAAACCAGGCTGGGGTGAAGAACAGCGTTACTTGATTTAAACCAGGCGCCTGCTGCTAATTTAGGGGCACCCCGGCCTTTGCCAGAATCAGATGACTTTGCCGACGGGTGTTCTGTTTAGCTGGTTCTTCGGGTGGAAAGGTTAGGTGGAATTTCAATTAGTAACTTGATAAGATCATTTAAAATCGCAGCGTTGGCTCTTGGTTCTATATGTTTCTGAGGGTTCCCTGTGTGTTTGCTCCTTACGGTGGGACTCGGTACCTGTGGGGAAGGGAGAGGAGAAGATGCAGATGCAAAGGATGTTTTCAGCAGCAGCAGCGCAGCTCAGAGTGCTGAGCTGGTCACTGGCCAGACACAGAACACAGCCTGAAAATGCGATGACATTAAGCTCCCTGTGAGGGGCAGAGGAGGATTGTGAAACCACCAAAGGCTTGGCAGCCGAGCAGGTGAACACCAGGTCCTTGTTAAAGAGAATGCTTATTTTGTAAAACTTCAAAAGAGCACTAGTCCTGGCCCGGAACCTGTGCTAGGCATTGTCTGTCAGTCTGCTGTTTGACTAAAAGCCTGGATTTTCTGGAAAACAGAAAGGGAACATTTAAATAAATGTTTTAATTTAAAATTGCCAAAAAAACGCTCTTTGTTTCAGCATTATCTTGCTAAATCTGAGATTTAAATGTCAGAATTTTTCATGAGGAGAAAAAAAAAAAAAAGTCATTTTTACTTTCTCTCATTTACATCATCTGCCCAGAAGCAAAACAAAGGTCAGAATTTACGTCAGAGCAACTCTGTAATTTATAATCAGCGCTTAAGAGCTGTGAGGAGGATGAGTGTAGGATTTGGAGACGTTGCTTCTTGCTGTGTTACAGGGTGATATTATCTCCTGTGCTGGGTGTCACCTGTATCTGTGGACGGTCAATGGGCAGCTTCTGGCCAGTGTTAACACCAGCTGCAGCCCCCAAGGCCGTATCGTTTGCTGCTGCTTTGCTGAAGTGATGGACTGGGACACGCGCAGCGTCATCGTCACGGGAAGCACGGACGGAGTGGTGAGGGTAGGTGGAAGGGGGAGAGGGAAGGGAATCATTCATTGGACACCAAAGACAGGATTTTGCATCCTAAATGGAGTTTCAAAGATCCTAAAAACCCATATCTCTTTCCTAACAGGGAAGCACAGCTGAAAGTCAGGGTGAAACGTTTGCTTCCTCTCAGCTTTTATCCTCCGGAATGGAGGAGTCTTTGCCATTCGGGAAGAGTTTTGGAAATGGACTTTTCATTTAAAGTAAAAATTATACTGCCCAGCAGAAATACGTTTGAGTCTGGTTTCTCACAGTTGGTTCACAATTCAGTTTATTAAGTCCTACTTTCTCAGGAGCCAGAATTCACTGCTGGTTCCACCTCCACTCTGTTGGGAGAACTTGCTGGGTTACTGGGATCCTTGTTAGTGTCTCAGCCCTGCGTCCCCACCAGCTTCCTGCAGACATTTCTCCATCATGATGCCTTCCAGTGGCAGAGGGAGAGACAACACTGCAAAATCTTCTTCTGCTGTTAGAAGTCAAATTTCCGCCCCTTGCTGGGAAGTGGACACATCTCTCTCTTGTTGCTTTGTTATAATTCATGTTTTTTCCATTTTTACCTCTTTTTTTTGGCACAGCTCTGGAAGACCGAATACACCAGTACCCCAGGGCAAGCTGCTGGACTGGGACTTCAGAGAGGCACGATGGAAGAGCCTGGCAACATGGGTATGGCCATGGGGTGGGCTGGGAAGTGCAGGGTGACTGGAGACCTTGTCTGGTTGGGAGGAAGGAGAGGGTGTGTGAGCACAACCAGCAGCAGAAGTGATGGGTAGCCACCTTAGATGGGCACGTCCTGCCTGGATGAAGCTGAAAGCTTCTTCATGGGTTCTCTCACAGGTTCTGTCAAACTTGATAGACCACCTTTTTCCATAAACCTCTGAAAACAATGAACTATTCCGGCTCTAAAAAGCCCATTCCCTTGGCACCTTTGCTGATGGCCAATAATAAGGTATCTTGCCCTAATGGCAGAGTGGGCAATGCTATATCCTGCCCTGGGATGGAACAGGGAAGCCTGTTGTCTTTGCAACCTTAAATGAGGTCAGAAAGTTCTTCAAACTGGTGGGAGGCCAGCAGCAGGCCCTGGTGGAGCTGCTTATTCAGGGCTGTGCCAAACTGATACCTCGGAGCTCTCGCAGCGCTGAGGTTAATAAGATGATGGGGCTGTGGTGTTGACTGGTATTAAAAACAACTCAGGCTCACGTCTCTGTTCTAACAAATACAGGAGCTGAAACCTGCCAGAGAGCCTTAAAGCCACGTCCTAAATAGCACAGCTTGCTTCTCCTCACAGCACATTTTGTAAGAGAAAGGAACCGTGGTGTTAGTATGTATAATTTACACCACTTATTTGCTGCGGTCCTCATTACACACATTCCCTATTACTTCAATTTTATGCTGGCAATTTGCATAATATAGAGCTATAGATGTAAAATCTGCATAAAAAGATATTATACAGTAATTGGCCATTACCACTGAGATCTTCAGAAGTGCTGTTGGTGGAACTTGGCGTGTACGTTACTTAGATTGCTTTGTGCAAATATTTATATGTACAGAGCCATGTTGGCAATGCCAGACTGGATGCCCAGCCTGCTTTTGCCCTGTCTCAGAGGAGCTGAAGACAGATGCTTCTAAGGAAGGTGCAAGAACACCAGAGGTGCCAGCTCTGAGAGAGTCTGGCTGTGGTAGCTCCACATTTGGCTTTATTGTGGTGTACGGTCAGGGATTGCTGTAAGTCAAAGCAAAAGACTCAGCATTCCTTCCGAAATCCTTGTAGTAGTCTGTAGTCATTTTTCTGGCTCTTTTTACACGTAGAAATGTCCAATTTGTTTTAAGAATTTCCTAAGTTCTCATCTGTAACTTCCTGTGGTGGATATTTCCATGTCTTATTTGCTGAGATATGATCTCACAGGAATATCTTTGAACGAACTGAGATTTTAGCTGTTTTTAAAATTTGTATCTTAAACAGTTTTCTAAATGAGGACTTAAAAGCTGCCCGTGGGAGTCCAGCAGAATACTTCTCCTTTTTCAGAGGATCATGGAAGGTTTGCACTGACCCCAGACACACACCCGTTTGCACATGAGCATGAGGCCACGCGTTCTTCATTTAAAGATTAGGGAGGTGTAATCAAAGCTGTGACACCCTCCCTTCAACTATTCAGACGACTTCAGGATTATTTTAAATGGCCAAATATTCCCACAACTCATTCTACGCATTAAAGAAAATAAAATTAATACAAAACACAGTCATTGAAAAGACCAAAGTAACTATGATTGAGTTATGTTGTTAGGGGGGTGCGTGTGTATGTGTGTGTATGTGGAATGTTCTCAGCATTTAATTATTGGTTCTGTTATGAGCAGATTTAGATAAGTTGATAATACCAGGGCTTTATGTAATTTCTTTTTACTAGGCAATTATGGGCTGTATTATATCCTGGCAGCAAGGTATTGTGGGGCATCTTATTAAGCATAGAGCCAGTGAAAACTGATGAACAATTTTGCTGAACTAGGCATGCAATTTAGAAAGCAATAATACACAAATCCAATTTAGCACACAATTGATACAGCCGCACGTCAGCACATGTAACTATCATAGCCACAAATTAAATTGGGATGGGCCTATTTTGCAACAGCACAGGCTGAGATTAAATATATTTGTTCTCAACTTAACAACTTGCTGACCGTAAATAATAACAATCCCATCCACGCTGCCCCCAGATGCTTTCTAAATATTTATTTTTAAACCCCACAACAGGTAACAAGTGTGGAAAACATCTTGTTCTCTGTCGGGAACTGAATCCCAGCCTTGCCTTGACTGGAAAACCAAGTAAGACCAGCCCAGCAGTGACAGCGCTGGCTGTATCCAGGTACCGTCCTGCCCATTGCCTCGGGGGCTCCGCTGCTCTGCCCTGAATCCACAGGGGATTTTATTTTATTCTGAACTTCCTATTACTGCCAGGTGGTTGGGTTTGGGGTTTTGTTGTTTTTTGGGGTCTCTTTTTGTTGTTGCTGTTTTTTAAATCTCAGCCGAATCACTCTGTCTTACCGAACGCGGTCACTTTGGGAGCTGGCCTGGCTTGAGTGTATTAAGTGAAGGATTTTGGACAGATGGGACACAATGCAGGAGAAACAGCAGCTTTCAGAGAGAATAGTTGCAGAGATCAGTAGCTGCCACACTGTCTCTACAGCATAAAAAAAAACCACAATCCGAAGAGCTGCTGGAGATACAATGTAAACAGGAAGTTTTTGGTCAATTTTATTGTTAAACTCTACTCAGTTTGCAGAGCCAGCAGTATTTTAGTTTACTCAAACCCCCCTCCTGCAGCTTCTTCTGGCTGTAATATTTGTTGTTACCTCCTGCTCCAGGACGTTTTGATGTACTGTAAAACAGCTGCTGTCTTTCTCTCCAAAAATATTGGAGAGAGTTTTGATAGTTGGAGAGTTGGAGAGTTTTGATAGTTGCTACAATGATTCCTATGTTCTACGTGCTCAGGTCTGGAGCACTGACTGAGCGTGATGTTTATATGCATTGAAAGTGGGGAAGTTTTGGGGGGAGGGTTAGTTTCATTAGTGTCGCTGACGCTGCATGAAGCAGAGATTTCAGTGGCTGAAGCCATGACATTGTGTTGCAAAGTCTGAATTCTGAATTATTTAACATTCATAGAGTCTCAGAGAAGGGTAGGGGTTTCTGATTGTCCATAACTAACCCACTGAACTCCAGGAAAGTTTGGACTCAGTTCTAAATTCAGTCTTGGAAGTGCAAATCTTGGTCTACTTTATACCATCATACTTCAAATTTAACATTAAAGATAAACTTCTCCCCTGAATGTTGCATCCTCCTGATCGCTACACACACAGGAGAAATCCTGGATCCTGTTTGCATCTTGTTCTTGAACATTTTTCTCTTTTTCTTTCTTTCTTAAGGAATTCCTCCAAGCTCCTTGTTGGTGATGACTGGGGAAGAGTCTGCTGCTGGTCTGTGGATGGGTAGGAAGAAATAGCCAAGAACTCGTGGTTTTTTTGGCATTTTGGATAGAGAGAAAATCACTCTTTGGAGCATGAAAGAACTGAAGAAACTGGAAGCCTCTGGTTGGGGACTGAATCGCAAAGAAGTTGTTGGACTGACCCTGCAGTCAAGTCTGATTGAAATTAGAGAGTGGACTCAAAAGCCGTGAGAGAGACACTGACAGACGTGCACGCAGACAGTGCCATTTTGTAGTATTTTTTCTGGGAAAACTTTTCTATTTTAAATGTTATTTTAGATACTGAATTTGACATAATACATTGAATTTCACAAATAATAGCTAGCAAATAAAACTGCTTTGATTATGCCAAAGAGCAATGCAGCTTAATAAAATCACCGTACTCTAATTTTAGTACCATGAGATCAGAAAATACTGAGGCTTCAAACAGATGTTGACTTTGTTTCAGTATCTTTATTCTTACTAACATAAAAGTGTGTTAGCATCTCCCTTTCTACTCTTCCTCCTTCCCTGAATCTGCGTGAAAAGATATGTGTGCCTTCTGGAAAGCTATTTTGTTTGCAAAGTGAAGGCAGGAATTCCCAGGTTGGCAGTGGAGCCTTTATCCAGCCCCACTGTGAACATGTGTTATGGTGCAATCTTTGGTTTCTTAGTCTCTGACTTGTTTTTTTTTCTTAGTGAGCAGGGCAGGCAGAATGCATGGAATGGGTGAGGATGAAGATCTGACACAGCTGGTCAACATATTCTTTCATTTTTCTCCTTCACTGCCTTCTTTCCTGGCCTTGGCCAATGTTCTCTGGAATATCAGTGTATGAGATGTCTTTCAGGCTTTACATTCACCATCACCCTGCACGGTAGAAGTGGGTATTTCTAATATAAGAAGGCTGAGACCATAGAGTAATACATTGAAGTGCCATTTGTGTCCCTAGTGGAGATGGAGAAAGTGGGAAAAATAAAGCTCCTTAACATTTTATGAGAATTTGAAGGAGCTAAACTGATAATTCCCTCTCTCCCCTGCCCCCCCTAGACCTGGTAAAGAAATCGAGTACCTTATCTTACACACGAAGGGCTGAGTAACCACTTAGGCAAAGCAGCTTCCTGAACACCAGAGACTGGGTCAGGGCAGAGCCAGCAAGAACATGAAGGTCTTTATGGTTATGAAGATCCTTTGTGTTCCTACCACCAAACACCCCTGACCAGACAGAGCCAGGAGAGTTCCCTGATTTCCACCCCACTGGGACTGGTTAGCACTGGTGGAGTGAAGCCCTGCGTGTACTGTGCTGGACAGACAGAGACTGACTTCAAGAGAAGGACAAGGTGCATCAGCTGTTGTTCTGGATCACAGAGAGCAAATCCAGAGTGTGCACGTGTGCATGGAAGTCAGCAGGTTAAGAATTAATATCTTCTAGAGTCGAGCTTGTTCAGGGAGTTGCAATTTGGAAGAATACAAAAGGCAACTGGATAGAAATAGGTTGTGGTCTCCTCCTGGTGAAAATTCTGATTAGGAGTGATTTGCTGTACAGCAGTGCTTGCTTGAGAAAGGTATACAAAAGGCAACTGGATAGAAATAGGTTGTGGTCTCCTCCTGGTGAAAATTCTGATTAGGAGTGATTTGCTGTACAGCAGTGCTTGCTTGAGGAAGGTTTCTTCTGTAGCTCTAGAGGAGTTTTCCTCAGTCATAAGTTATGGATTTAATGCATACTGTGAGTACCGAAAGCACTGCTCCTTGCTTCCACAGTGAAGGCACAAACATCACCAAATTTCTTCAGTCTGATACATCCAGTGTGTGTGATAGTGGTGGAAGGTTACCGGGTCATTTTTCTGCAGGCAAGTCTCTGTGACATGAAGTTTCTGCTAGAAATTAATATGTGGTTGAACAATTAGCTTTGATATCAACACTTTCATGAGCACTTTTGTATTAAAGGTTTCTTCTGTAGCTCTAGAGGAGTTTTCCTGAGTCATAAGTCATGGATTTAATGCATACTGCAAGTACTGAAAGCACTGCTCCTTGCTTCCACAGTGAAGGCACAAACATCACCAAATTTCCTCAGTCTGATACATCCAGTGTGTGCGATAGTGGTGGAACGTTACCGGGTCATTTTTCTGTAGGCATGTCTCTGTGACGTGAAGTTTCTGCTAGAAATGAATATGTGGTTGAACAATTAGTTTTGATATCAACACTTTCATGAGCACTTTTGTATTTATGTTGGTCTCCTGTGTATTTGGTAAATTTGGTAAAAATTCTGGTAAAAATCTCCATTTATGTTGGTCTCCTGTGTATTTGGTAAATGAGGAATCTCTGTGAAATTCTCTCAGTTCTGGACATGGAGGCAGCTGTCACTAACGCGTAGACAAGACTTGGTGGAACCTCAAGGATAGTAGTGGCACCTGCTTGGTGGGTGTCCTGATGTGATGCTGGTTCTCTAATGGTCACGTGGGATGTGGGGACAGCAGATCTGGAATATGCTTGAAAAATTAAGCAAGTAGAGCAATTCCACAGCAAATACTTCCAGCATAACTCCGTTGTTATGGCAAGCGGCACAGTGCGAGCATCACCAGGGTGTTGTAATTATCTCAGAACCAAATTTTACAAGGAGTAAGTAGCTCAGGGTGAGAATTACCCTTAAAAGAAATCCAATCCCATTAGGATAAGAAATGCAGGAATAAGGCACAGTCTTAACTCTGCCCTGTGGGGAAACCAAGAAGAGAAATGTGGAACAGCACAACCTTTATGTGCCTTTAAAAATCAGTTTAATCTAATCGAGGACCATAAACCCTAAAATGCCTTAATCACACTTATTTGGTTATTGCTCAGACCATCTTGCTGCCTTTTTCGGCAATAGAAGCCTTGTAAATGTTGCAGTGAGCATTAAATACTGTCTGATTTCTGTAGCTTTCCGTTGGCTAATAAAGGCTAGTGAAGCAATATTTGCAGAGCTGCCTGCGCACCACGGGGCCTTTTCAGCCTCATAAAAAGGAATTTGCTCAAACCTTTTTTTTTTTTTTTTTTTTTTGAGAAATCCATGCAAACCAATCGGTGAGCCCCACGGGAAAGTCTCCCTGTGATTGTCACCGTGTGCTACTGTTCCTGAGTCCTTCTGGTACAGGGTTCTCAGACCTTGTTGCAGGAAGGTATGGGTAAGGAGATCATGTCATTTGGGCTCACCCATGGCTGTCACAAGGGAAGGTGTCTGAGAGCCAGATGAACTACAATAATTTGCAGGAATATGCTCTCTTCTGCATGAAAACGCAGCTTGTCATGTTTGTGTCACATCATTTCAGGAGGGACATCCCAGGGAAGTCGAAAAAGAAGCCCAGAAAAGCTCTGGACCTGATCCCAGCTCTCTTGTCTCCTCCTGCTTGGAACAAAGCACCTCTGAGCCAGGTACCTGGGGGGACTTGTTTGCTAAAGGTCACCCACAGCGCTTGGGGATCAGACTGGTTGTTGTGTTACTGGTGTCACTCTTCAGACATAGAACTTAATGTCATTTAAGTCAGCCAGGCTGATGGGGAGGGAACAGGGCTGGTGGAGGGATGCCAGCCTTACAGACAGGTTGTCATCAGAGCTCTTCCCAAGTGTCAGGAAGCTCCTGGAATCTTGCCACATGAAGTTTTTATAAGGGAACCCCCTTGTTCCCTTCATTGGAGTTAAATGTCTTACGGAAACCTGGTTTCTAGAACCAGACAGCCTTCAGGAGTGCTTTTGGATCTTGGTGACCACCAGTAATATTTGCTGTAATATGTAATATTGCATGACCATGAGTAATATTTGCAAACATGGGCCTTGTGGTGGGGACAGCTGTAGCTGTGCCCATGTGCAGTGATCACTCAATGTGTACTCAAGTGTTGCAACTTTACGCGTGTGGAGGGTTGTTGGTGAAGGGCAGCAACTAAGGCTGGGTGGCTGGAGCTGAGGGTGTTGGGTGAGTTCTGTGGTGGAAGAGCATTCTGAGCTCTTGCTGATGGGGGAGAAGCTGTCTCTGGGTGGGTGGCTGCAACAGACGCGTGGGGATTTTCCCTTTTTCAGGTCAGAAATTGTTTCCTTGTTCAGCTTGAGCAGGAGGCTTGAAGGACTTTGCTTCTCCCTTGTACATCCGTTCCCTGGCCAGGAGGGACAAGGAAGAGTTGTGCTTCCAGAGCTACTCCAGTTTTGGTGGGGTGCTCAGCTCCCATGGTGGGAGCAGAGGGATTAAGCCACTGGAACGAACAGTGAGAGTTCTCTTTGGCCACTCCTGTCCTCAGCCCATGGTCTCCTGGCTGTGATAGTCTCCAGCGGTGACAAGTTACATCTCCTCTACCAATGTCTATGTCGTTATACCCCCTTATTTTACTGACACCGCTGGATTAACCAAAATAAAATGCAGTCAAAGTGTGGTCATTTAAGTTCCCATCTTTGACTGTCACAGTCACAGAGCACCGGATCTGGTAAGCGAGCAAAAGGCATATCCTTATTGTGACAGTGGGACCATGCACGTTGTAAACAAGGGATTCTGAGAAGTATTATTGAAATAACCAGAGCTGCTGCCAGATAATGGTGTGATTTGGTAGGGAAGGTGAAATCCTGATTTGCTCCAAAGCCTTTATCTGCCTGGCAGGTTGGGTTCTGCCTCCAACCTGGTGTGTGTTGGCTTTGGTTGTGTTGGTGGGTGTCCGTTTGAAGCTCTGGGCAGCCCTTGGCTCTTTGGAGCCCCGTTATGAGCTGAATATATACTCTGTCTTTGGGCTGTATATTTACAGGCCCTTCCCCGTGGCAGTGCTGGGACTGTGATAAGTGGGAGGAGGCCCACTAGAAATCTACTCAAGCAGGTCTAATTGTACCAAATAGAACGGCTCAGTAGAGTGGAAAATAGTCCTCATATATCTACCCGAAGAAGATAATGACCTTTTAAATAACAGAAGCAATTTTATTTCAATACTCCAATTACTCTGAACTCTCAAATGTCAAAGTGCCAAGCACTTTCAAAATAACTTAATTTAGACATTTATAGCACTTAGACACTGCTAGTTTCTTATCTAACCTAATTATGAGTTGTACAGGAAATTGCAAAGCATCCCAATTAATGTTATTTTTTATAGTGATACATAGGAGTGGCCTTTGCCATTTGCCGTCGTCGTGCACACAGTGATTTACTAATTTTGGCTTTTGAGTTAGTTCCCTGGCAGGACAGGGCTCTTCTATCCTCTGGTTGCTCTTTGAGAGCAAACAAGGAGAAAGCCGAAGTAGAAGCGAGCAAAGCTACATTTGCCTGAGGGATCTGAAGGGCTTGTGTTCCCCAGAGAGCAGGGAGCCACTGCAAGGACCATTTGAGGTATAGAGGTGTCATACAGAATACTAATGGCTGAGTGTCAGCCTTGTTGATGCTCTCCAATCAGAGCACTGAGGCCAGGATTCTCCACTGACTTGTCTCCCGCAGGACTAGTGCAGGGGGATGAGATTTGTGAAGCTGTTTAACTGGCTGCCTGAAAAATTCCCTTCACAGACGGTGCTGAGCAGTTTCTCTTCTAGTCCCTACGCACTGTGGGCAGAATGGGAGGTGGAGGACATAATGTAGCATCACCAAGAAGTATCCAGTGACTCCTCATTTGCTTTTATGGTGAGGGGAGGACACATGTCCAGGTACCATGTTTGAAAGCGATAACTCTTGCCCACCCCCATGTGTTTTTTGCCTGGTATATTTTACACGATGTCCTGGTCCTGTGCTCCCCCCCAGGTGTCAGAAGAGAACTTTTAGCAGCCAGAGAAGTTCCTCCTCTTTCCCAAGGATGATCCCACAGGATCAATGTCTCATTTCTCAAAGAAAGTTGTGGGGCTGTGGGTAGCTACGTGCTGTAGCTGCTCTCAGTTGTGCCTGTGACCATGTCAGCCCAGAACAGGAAGGAAAAAGCCCCCAGAAGCCTTATTCATAGAATGGTAGAGGTTGGAAGGGACCTCTGGAGATCATTTAGTCCAACCCCCTGCCACGGCAGGTCCATCCAGAGCAGGTCCCACAGGAACGTGTCCAGGTGGGGTTGAAATGTCTCCAGAGAAGGAGACTCCACCACCTCTCTGGGCAGCCTCTGCCAGGGCTTTGCCACCCTCACAGGAAAGAAGTTCCTCCTCGTGCATCATTGTGTTCTCATTCTCTTCCTTATGGTAAAATATTGCTGCAGATAAAATAGATGGGATTTTTAACATGGCTTAACAGCTCAAATTAAATCCAAGAGGGAAAGTTTGAGTTTGACTCAACATCTTGTGTTCAAGAAGGGCACAGGGAACAGACCCGGAGGAAAGAAGACCCTTTCCCCAAAGTTTTTCCATAGCCAGGAGCAGAACCCAGGTGAGGTTGCCTGGGGCCTCCTGACCTCCTGCTTCCCTGGTGTGAGGTGCAGGAGAGCCCCAGGTTCTGCACAGCAGGGAGAAATGCAATTACAGGGACAAATGAAACCCTGGGCAGGTCTCAGCTGGAGGGTCAAAAAGAGCTGCCAGAACGTTTCTGACTGGGGTTGTCAAAGATTGAAAAGCCTCTTGTGGGGTTTGCAAACAACCCAGCAATGCTGGTGAGGAACAAGAGAGACTTAACACAAAATGGTGCCAAGACAGGTAGGATTCTTGCCCTACCTGTTGCTCTGCAGTCAGCAGAGCACATGGCTCAGCATTTGGGCTTTGTGTGGAAATGGTGGAACAGGAAACTGCTGTGAAGTTTGCTTGAAAGAGCTGGGGCAGCCAGGGAGAGAGGTTGTTTGAGAGCCACATGTTGTAGGCAGCCAGCTCAGAACCCAACCTACCTATTCCCTGGATTTCCAGGGCTGTTTTATCTGGAATAATTTGTTAATATTTTCCAGAGAAGGAGTACTGGGAATCATTTGATCTTTACAAGAGGAAAGCCTGACAGAATTGAGGTTGATAATTCTTCTTTCAACTGTTCCTTCAATAGTCTTAAAATCTGGAGAAGGCTGTTAAGAGGAGAGTGAGATGTTCTGCATGTCTTCTGGGGAAAAGGCAAGAAGATACAGCCTACACAGTAGGGATGTTTTCAACAACCTATCATTCAGTCATTCAAAATTTTGAATGATTAGGGCTGTGGAAGTGGATGCTGAGGAGAGTATGGAACCTTATCACTATAAGTTTCTAAGAAGAGGTTGGACCAATCTCTACCAGATTAAGTCAGGCTGAGTTGGTCCAGCCTTGAGATCAAGTAGTGGATGAGCTGACATCTCAAAATCTATGCCATTTCCATTTTTTCTTTATTTTTCTTTTTTTTTTTTTTTTTTTTTTTTTTTCCTGAGAGGAATAACACAAACTCAGGGTCTTCTATTGACATGCGAGAGGAATAACACAAACTCAGGGTCTTCTATTGAAAGAGAAGATTTCAATAGAAATCTTCAAGAAAGAGCCATTCTTTGGCTCAGCTCTACCTCCCAACCAAGGTAATAAAATGGGGTCAAATCAGGTGGTGGTACAAAGCACACCAAAGGAGTGTATTTCAGATTAGTGCAGCAAACTCAGAAGAGCAAGCGTTATGCAGCGGAATTTGGGAATTTTATCTTTTACCCTGGCATGTTAGACTGAAGCCAATAAAGGATCTTTGCACCCTGATGTCACTCACCAGAGGTGTTTTGGAGGAGCCCTCAAAAAGTAGAATTTGACCTTCAAATCAAACATCAAAGGAGACCTCATCTGGTCTGAGTCCTGCTGTGCCAGCAAGAACCTGGCCAAACCCTGGTGAAGGACACAACTTTGATTGAACTTCTTAATGAAGAGAATCCCACTATTATGTTACAGTTATACTAAAACAAATAATTTGCTTGTAATTACAGAGATAATGACTTTCTGACCACACCTACCAATTAGAAAGTTGTACTAAAGAGTAATAATCCACCTTTTCCTTGGGATGCAGAATCGGCCCCCGCACAGCCCACAGCGCTAATATGATTTACTCCTGTTTGCTGATGGAGGATTCCAGTAATAAAATTTAATGTGGAGGAACCAGGTGCATTTAACCAAAGCTGTAAACATCTCAAATTCTATTTAAAGCTATAGGGTGCAGTACATTAACGTTTAACAATCTGATACCAAATTGGCGTGAAGCTAATAGAGCTGTATTTGTTAAAAATTCAGCACTGGGCCATGTTTTACCAATGACAACGGGAGGAGTGACCAAAAGAGTATGACTCAGCAGACTCCAACCACGGCTTAATAGGATATTAAGAGTCTTAATGGGAGCTCCTGTCATAAAAGAACAGGTTCAGGGGACCACGTTCAGCTCCGCTGCTGTTCTGCTGAAGCTGGAGGGAGTTAGGCCAGAGAGGTTCCTGTTGGAAGGAGCTAAATCCAACTCATTCTGCATTTCTCCCACTAAAGCACATTATACTCAGTGAAATTTTCTTCTCCATAGTCTTTCAAGTGAGTTGCTTTGATACTTAAAGAGGTACAATAGATTGAAAGGTAAAGGATGATGTTTTTATCTCTCCAATGATATGATCTGGCTTTATGAAATCTGGGTGGGTGCTGCATAAGAAAAGGCTTAGGAAATGCCTAATCAGGAAGGTGGGTGTTCTCAGCAGTATTTCTGGCCTCCCTTCACTCAGCTGGTTCATTGCCTTTCAGGATTCTGCTGTCATCTGAAGCTGGTCACCAATGGAAAACATTTCAAAATCACGGCACTTTCTTCAGAATGAAAAATTCAATTCCCACCTGTTGGGGTTGCCTAAATGCTGAGCATGAGATAAAACACGTATCCTCGAATCGTTCTCTAGCAAGCAATAAATCCTACACAGACTGAGAGAATTAATCTCGCCCAAAAAAAAAAGGTAATTTATTTAGCTTAATTAACTATTATTTTGGGGAATTAGATATCAAACATAAACAAGACGATATAGACTATTAATACACAAAGAGTGGTATTCATTAAAATACTGGGCACAAACATAGAGTAGAGGATTTTTCTGAGCAATGGGCACAACGGCCAGCTGTATGTAAAAGGAATGTTTATGTACCAAACTTCAGCAAGTTTTCACAACTAAGTGGTCAGCTCATTAATGTGTTAGGGTTCTATTTTTAATTCCAAATGAATCACTAATAAGTTCTGTGCTTTTCTAAGGCCTTCCTTACAGCTGTCTGCATTAAGAGGTGTCCTCTCTGAATACTCAGTCAAACTCTGGCTGGTCCCAAACTGATCCCTGAATGTTTGATCACTTTTTAGCACCAGTTTCTTTTTGGTCAATGAGTTGGTTGCTGTTGTCATTAAAAATCCATCACCCAATCAGAGAACAAGGATAGATACCATGTGCCTTGAGTGGGTGATTAAACTCCTGGGATAATGAAAAGGTGAAATGAACATTTTCTTGACAGCTCACAAATGCAAACATTAAAAATGCAAATAATTGCTGGCAAACCTATTGATAAAAGCTGGCCTTTGTTTGGAAAGAACTGTCTTGATGAGGGACTAGAGTTGGAATTAGTACTGTAGGTCTCAGCCAGCCTGACAAGCTTTTCTTAAATTCCTTTTTTATACCAGAGATTTTCATCTAATACGGAAGCAGGAAGATGGTGTGGTTAATCATGGGCTAAAGCTTCTCAAAGACTGAAGGATGTTGGGTACCCAACCCTCCCTGACCTCTGGTGGAGTTTGGGCATTGAAGATTTAGGAGCTTGCAAACACCAGTCTATCTGTCCTTCACATCTGAAATGCCCAGGATGCCACAGAACAGCCCATTTTCCATGAATGGGTATCAAAGGAAAAAGAAGAATCTCTTCTTAGTTACCAAGAGGTGAAGAAAGAGGAAGAGTATTTTGTGCTCTCACATTAGGCTTGTATCCCGAGCCCTGATCTTTCCAAAGAAATAACTCCAAAGTGAGTGAGCAGGGTGCTAATGGAGTCTGCTCCCTTCTGGAGGAGAAGCTGTGTGTTTCCTCTGGATCAGCAGCTCAGTGATGCAGGACACGGGAGGAAACTTCTCCAAGTTTGGGAGCCCCAGTCTAGATCAAGGCCAAGAGCAGTGTCCTGGTTCTGTCCAACTCTTACTTGCAATCACAATTTTTCCTATTCCAAACCAGAATTCTAAAAATATCAAATCCTGGAAAATGTTCCCAAGCTATGAATATTCTTCCTCAAATCATTGGGGTTTAACTACGGATGTTTCCTTTGGATTATTTTGTAATGTTTGATTTCAAGCACTAAGGAAGAACTTTACTAAAAGTAACGAGTTTTTAAATACAAAGTCATTTAGAAAGGGAACTTGAAAACACAGAAACCAACTCTTTTGATAATTATTTCTGGATAGCAGAAAAAGTAATTTAAGCTGTTCTGTTGCTGTGGAAAGAAGTCTCAGCTTTACTGAATTAATAGTTTTCTGATGAGAAAAACAGCATTAAATTGACAAATTTCCTGGTCAGTGGTCTTTGTCTTTGCCTTCAGAAGCAGGCTGATGTGCGCAGATCCTGCCACCAGTCCTTCTGAGGCTTGCTCAGATGATGATGATGATGATGATGATGTTTGCAGCTGGACTCATCACATTAGCATCAAAGAAGGAATAATGTTTAATATTGAAAATGCTCCAGATGGAACTTCAGTCCATTTAAAACAGGGGGGGGCAAACACTGCGAAGGGTGTCTCCAGGACGTCACTTGTCAACCAGCTGCTTTTCTATGATTCCTTTCAACTATGTTTTGTTTAAAAGTCTCATAGAAAAATAGAAGTGCATGAATGGAAATAAAAAAATAAGGACATTTGTATGATTTTTATAAATAAACAGCACAGCAAGAATTAAATAGAACACAGACAAAGGACATTTATACAGGCATGAACTGTTACAGCTTGTTCTCCTCAAAGAGTATCTGTGCGTAGACTGTCGTACTGGGAATGCCTTTGGCTTCCTGAATCGGCTTCATAAGTTCAAGTTCAGCGTATGTTAAGTTCTCCTCTGCAATTTTTGGCTAGAAAAACAGAACCAAAAAAAAGTACAGTTATAATGTCGTTACCACCAAATGCAAAGGATGCCTTAAATATTCTGTAGAATGGGCTACATTTCTTCTTTCACACATTCTAGTTCTACTATTCTGTCAGTTAGTTTAGTCTGCACTGGAGGTAGTTCACAGAAGATGAAATAAAAATAATATTAAAAAGAAGAAACAGGAAATAGTAGGATTTTCAGGTTCATTACCAATTTCTCCTTGTTTCTCAAGCACTAAACATTTAAATTTGACAATTTGCTTGAAAGATGGGTGTTAGTGAAACGTTCAGTCTCTTTAATCCTAAATTGCCTGATTTAATTTTAGTTATTGCAGACTTCAGAGTTTGAAATATATTTGCCAGATTTGCTTCCCAGCTGTAAACCTCGGACCAGTTACATCTCTAATCACAGCCACTCAAAGTACCTCTTGTTATATTTCTTAACAGAACCAAAACACCTTAAAAATATGCAGAAGGCAACAAAAAGGCCCTGTGCAAATGGAGAACTGGAGAATTTGTTCTTTTATCTTCTTGGGTACTGTGTTCTGCCTGAACATAACGTGTGTCCTCCAGTTTAAGCCTAAAAAGGACAATTAAGCCAAAACAAAAAACATTTCAGCTGTGCAAATTTTTGCAGTCACAAGACTATACTTTTAGAAAAGGCTGTACCTCTGAGACCAAGAAAGGCTTTGCCACTTGTAAACTGAAAACTGACTCAAAGTTCATAAGCCAAGATCTCTCATACTGTACTTAAATGTTATAGTGAAGACATGGACAATATTTTTCCAATGCCAAGAGTTTCCTTTATGTTTTATTTACTGTTATTTTTTTCTTTCTGGTTTAACATAAATGATTCCTGTTTCCTTGAAATGTGTCTGAATAATTATTGTATTGTCTTCTGGCTAAAAAGATAATCATCCAATATCCTCTGAAACCAGTCCCTGTGCTCCCCTGCATCCTGTCTTTTGCACTTCTCTATAACCCTCTCCTTTTGCCTTGATTGTTGCTCACACTCTGCATTTCAGATTGTTTCCCTCCGGGTAGATCAGTTTACACTTTTCCAGCGTTGATTTAATCTTATTTCTTCTCTGCAGATCTGATCCTGAAATACTTTGGGCAGCTGCTGCAGGTGGTGTCGTTGAAGTCAGTTGATCTGTACACGTGAGTAAAGGCCCTTTGTGGGGCTAATTGTCATCTTTGCATTTGATTATTCCCATGGTTTTCCCTCCCTCCTTCCCCCTCTTGAGTTGGGTGGTTCTGTTCCATCTCAGCTTCTGGTCATCCTTCATTATCAAATGCTCCACTATTGACTACACAGATTTCCTGCTTTTGTTGAATTCTCTGGTGTAATGATGTAAAAGGACTTCCTGTGGATCCCAGCCTGATCTTGTATGTAACACTTCTTTCTTTTCTTTGTTCGTGTATCAGGACTGAGCTAAACCACAAAGTCCAGAAAAACATCTGTCCTATCCTGGCTTTGGCTTAAAGAGTTAGAAGAAACTCTTGGTCAACTGCTCTGATAATTAATTCTTTTTTCTATTCCACTCTTCTTCCTAGTCTGAGAGAATTAGCCTCAGTTTCTAGGCACTTAAGTTGGTTTTGCATTTTTTTGATATAAATCAAAAAATTCCTTTTGAGATTTCAAAACTCTGTGTGCTGTTCAATAGGTAGTGCAGAGGCTAAAATAAATACAGGAGCTAAACTAAGGCTGGACATCACAATAACAGCAGCAAACGTTGAAGATTTTATTCTCGGTCTATGACAGCACACCTGGTTTCTCTTTTAAAATATTGTGACTTTTGGTGCCAACTTCAGTGGGTGTCACCTGAGACCCTGAATACAGAATAATACACAGCATGTGAAAACCCTCCTAACAACGAATCTGATAGGACTTTACAAACACACCATTGGTCACCGCCAGAGTAAAACTCTACATTTCCTAAGACTGACCCAGTCCATCCTTTGAAGTAGAAATATTTTCATTGTTCTGTAGAAATCAGTTGCTCAGGGCAACCTAAATCTGTACGTGCTTTCCCCTTTGCTGTTTAATTGTATTTCATCTTATGTTTCCATTTAGAAAATGCCGCATGTCCTAAAATAGCCAACCCAACGCCCAGCTCATGTAAATTTTAGAACTAAGATTTATGAAATCATATTGTCCAGGTGTTTTATTATATTATCTCAAAATTGCATTGTTTTCCAGTGTAGATTATCTCTTTATTCTTACTTTATTCTATTATGTTTGGATATGAAAAATAACACTAGATTCCCCAAAACAGGTCATTGGGCAGTAGTGGCTGATGTGTTGCTTTCATACATTTTTATGATGTTCCTATAGTAAACATAATTTAATAAAGCCAAAACACACTAAATAAATAATTGCATCTAGAAAAGCAATAAAACCAAATAAAATTAGTACTTTCATAAGTGGAAAAGGTACTTCAATTACTGCTACAAGCAACAGCACACCATAAAATGTGTAGAATAATTTCCCTTATGCATATTTCTAGTATGTAATAATTTGATTGAAAATATGAGGAAACACACAGGAGGTTCAAAATTGTGAAGGGTATACAGTTTTCAGCAAAGGATGCGTAATAACAGTGCATGGAAGCCAACACTACTTTAAAGTACCTATGGTAGCCAGGGGTTTTTTCCATACGCTCTTCTGTACTTCATTTATCAACCATATGTTTAATTTAATCTTGCCTGTTTGTTTGTCCAAAACCCAATTTTTTTTTTATTTTTTTTTTTGAGCAGGCAGGGAAAGAAAACTAATTCTATGATTTCCTCTCTCATTTGGATTGGGTAGCATTTTGGCAGCATAAGCCTGGAGTCCTGCCACCACCTCCTTTGTTGGAAGTGTAGCGTGACTTCAATAACTGATGTTTTAGGTGAGACCGATACCAGGGGAGAAGAGGAAGAGACAATGCAATGAGTGGCCATTCACCCCCTCTTTCTGTCCTGGCTCTTCACTTAGAGGTCATTGGGATTTCTATGGCTACAACAGCCTTGCCTGAAAAATTACATCATTGTTCTAAAATAATATTGAAATTGTTTCTTCAAATAGAATTCTATCCCAAAGTGACATTTTTAGATACAGTCTTTCTCTTGTCTATCTTGCCCAGAGAAGCTGTGGCTGCCCCATCCCTGGAGGGGTTCAAGGCCAGGCTGGATGGGGCTTGGAGCAACCTGGTCTGGTGGGAGGTGTCCCTGCCCAGGGCAGGGGGTTGGAGCTTAATGATCTTTAAGGTCCCTTCCAACCCAAACCATTCTATGATTCTATCTGTTTTCTGATCTTGGGATCGCAAGGTTTGCAGAAATATACATTAGGAAGAGTCATCATTTTCCAGCGTATCTTCTGGCAAATGCAAAATAATTCCTCTCCCAGATTTCTTCCAGTTTAATTTTAGTTTATTCCAGTCACAGAGTTTCCCATGGGCAACTATTTTAAAAAGTTCACTTGGAGGAACATTCTTCTTAATAAACCTCCTGCAAAGTCTGTCACATAAATAATGTGAATATTTAAAAGAAACTAAAGTATGCATATAAATATTTCTGGTTTTATTGGGCTTGTCCAGTATATAAACGTATTAGAAATGACCTAGAAGGGTTGGGTTTTTAATGTAAATTACTCTGATTTTTTTATGTCATAATTACCAGGAATGTCAATTTTGCTCTTCCTTGGCTTAGCTGCTTTGTTTTTTGGCAGCCTCAAGGATGTTTACCGTGAGGACTGTCAGACTGAAAGTTCTTGAAGTTTTAACTGAGACCACTTTTATCCAAATTTGTAATTAGATATGAAGAAAACAAGTAAATAATAACCTCATAAATTTAACTTGTCTGGAGAAACAGCTGATGCCAACTTGCACTTATGGATTGCTGCAATCTTACTGCTCCATGACCACACCAGTTATCATGAAGCTGACAAAATGAATGTGAATTTCTAATTTAAAGAAAAGCAATTCCCCTGATTCTAGTTTACTATCAAAAATAAGCAGAAAAGGGCTCACTTTTCAGTTCATTTCAATCTGAAATGTTTTAGCGACTATTGCTGCAGACATTTGCCTTGGAATTCAGCGTCTCTAAGATCACATGGTTTGTTTGGGATACGATGCAGAATAATTTTAATGCAGGACCAAGGCAAGAAAATTATGTTTATAGACCAAATTGAATTTTTATCTCTTAATTTTCTGGATTTAACAAGCATATTAATTCCAGTCACAAGTTTGTAATATTTTTAGTAACTGGGATTTCCTGCAGCAACACTTGAAAATGAAACCCCATCCTCCCTGGGGGTAGGTTTGCTGCTCTGATGGCCAGTATGTGGCAAATTGCCACCAATGGACCAGCCATGCTGTGCTGCTGGGCACATGCTGTGGGATGTTGTAGGAAACACAAATGGAAAAGATACAGAGTCCAGAGGTTCTGGTGAAGTTTCTTTGATCCAGTCTCTAGGAATTGCCCTTCTCTTCGGGTCATTCCACAGGACAAAGCAAGCAGCTCTGCCCCAGTGCCATGAATTACCTCATTCTTAGCAAGCACATGCTAGAACTAACATTTTTTCTATCCCTTTCTCTTGCAAAGGCAAAAAATCAGCTCTCTGGCCATTTCCCTTTCAGATTTGAGAAACATCCTGTTTTGTATTCACACTTGGTAAAGAGCTCTGCAGGAATAATGTGGATGCTGTCCAGATGGCACAGCTCAGGAGCATCCCGTGTCACCGCCTGAGCACACTCAATGTCTAGACAGGACTCTCCAGGCCCAACTGGATGGGCTTTGGCCACAGGGACAGATTGTGGCTTCTCTCCGCGTGAATGCCCAGATGGGAGGAAACCACATACTCCGTGCAGCCAAAGGAAAAGGGACCAGTCCATCTTTTCCTCTGCATATCTCCTTTTCATAAGCATCTTTTTTTTTGAAGCTGTGGGAGGGGATGCCAGCTGGGCCATCACTGGAGAGTCAAGTTATGGAGGTGAAGGCA